ATGACGTACCTCGAAGCAACGTAAGCATCTACATTGTTAGCTAGAAAATCATATCAACAGTCCTAATATGATTTCTAATTAACAAGCAATTCACTCAATGTATTTTTTTTTGGGTTTTCTCTTGATTAAATGAAAATTAACCTACGTGTCATGACGTGCAAAGTATGACATGCGAACTATATGACATGCGCTTAAATGACCTAACTCTAATGACGAGCAAATGAGGTATTTTTGGTGTTTTTCAATGAAATTTGGAATTAAAAAGGATGCCTAAATTAACATGCAATCTATTCTAGAAAAGATAATTTAACCTATTTTAGAGTGACTTCTTTTTGGTATTTTTTTTATGAAAATTCGGAATTAAAATTACCCTAAATAAACTATCAAGATTAGGGTAATATCTAAACTAAACTAGGAAGTACATTACTTTAAATCCTAATTTAAATTGAAAAATTATCCTATCTTTCTAGCAAATCTAGGTTATTCTATTCTATTCAAAGAAAGTTATCTAGCTATACCCTAAATATGCAGTATTATCTTCTAAGAAAGCAATTCAAACTTTAACTAATCTTTTTGAATTTTCTTTTAAAGGAATCAAACAAACAAATAACCACCATGGTCAAAATCAATCCACACAATCCGCAAGATTTGTTTTATCATCTTTGAATTAGGAAAACGATATAAACCAACGATCATATCCATGTGGTTATGGATATTGATGGAAGGCTATTCGTTTAAATTTGTAAACAAAATAAAATTTATTATCATATCCAAATGGTTATGGATAGAATAAAGATCTTCCGTGCCGCCAATTATCGTATCTTATGGTTGAGATCGGATAGTCGTCCAAGTGCGTTGTTGAGTCCTAAACCTATAGCTGAAGTTCTTTGTGTAATGAGCAAGAATTGATCCTATTGGCTCTTGTTTATAAAATGGATGGGTGACTTGGCACCCTGAATGGCTAGGATTATGCGGAAAAAGGACAACTTTTAATAATATTCCAGTATTTTTTTTCTTTTTTTTCTTTTCTTTCTTTTTCTTTTTTTTTTTTCTTTCCTTCCATCTTCCTCCAGCCGATCGTCGGATCTCGACAACCGGCCAAAGGCCAAGGCTGACGAGGCTCGACCTCACCAGATCCGACGAGGGCTTGAGCCTCGCCCACACCCTCACCAGCGAGGCTCGACCCTCGTAAGATCCAGCAAGGTCGAGCTTCGCCCATGGTCGGCGAGATCTGGCAACCGATTGGAGGAAGAAAGAAGGGTAGGAAAAAATAAATAAATAAATTCGAAAAAATATTAAATTTTTATTAAAAATTGTCCACGTCAGTACTGGCCATGCCATGTATGCCAGCAAGCATCTATGTTGGCAATATTTAGCCAAAATTAGCCGGAATGACTGATTTGATACTACATCAAAAGGTTTAGCACTAAATTGATATTATTAAAAGGTTTAGGACTAAATTGGCACAAGTACAATATATTTAGGACTTTTCTGACGGTTTTCCCTAAAACTGTGGGAAGGATCGAACTGTGTCCCTCGCTGTTAGCGGGTCGGGCACCCGGTGGGGACACGTGGTGCCCAATCCGGAGATGACCTCTCTAGATTCATCTCCGTATATGCTTATGACAAGAGGCATCAACGATGGGACGTGTGTTTGACCCCAAAAAAAAAAATGGACATGTGGGTCCACATGTCAATAATTGCACAAAATTAATTTAAAAATTCAAAAGTATATTATATATACATATATTTTAAAGGCACGTAAAGCTAATTCTGAATCCCACTAAAAATAAATTTACGTACGTACAAAGCATATAATATCTATAGCTGAGCGATGTGAAATTTGACAAACAAAGTGAATGCACGCACGAAATAAGTTGACGCGAAGCCTAACTATGATACCATATTAAAATGACCAAATTAAAAGTTTAAATTAATAAATGAAGGAAGATCATACATGAAGAGTATTTAAATTCTATAGTAAAACGATTTGGGATATCTTACATATAATTTTCATGGTAGTCGTTTTATTCATCACATAGGTTGGCCCAAAAATAGATTGTCATTCATCACAAGATTAGTTTGTAGGAAAATTCTCTAATTCGCCGTCGATGTCGGATTGGGCCAAGCATGAGAGAGATCAAGCATTATGAGTCCATTAGGTATGGTGCTGCACGCCCCTGGTCCGAGGCATTTGTTTCTTCCTTGTGTGCTTCTCTTACCATAGGAAGCATGACTGGTCTTCAATCATGGGAGCTTTTTGACTTTTGGGTTGCCGGAATTGACCTGAGCATTCCTAATTGTCTTTGTTTTCTTTGAATTACTTCATGAATTTGGTCATTCCCATTTATGCAACCGATTGAGCAGAACCAAGGCGGGTTAATTGGGTTGACCCAGCCCGACCCTGTAGGTTTCGATGCGTCGTTCCAAGCTCACTTCCTCAAATTATCTTACTTGTACTCAAATTGATACTGAAATTGAATTAATTTGGCCTAATAGGATTTTAGACATGTTCTTTGACTTTATTAAGAAAAGTTAATTATAGCCCTAAATTTGTGCTCGAATATTGGCCGACTCATTTAGAGCTCAAAATCTTAAAATTGACTTGAAATCTTGAGTTATTGTAGTTCCCGAATCTAATGTCTTAAAAAGGAATCAAACAAAATCAATGACTTTTGAAAAAAAATGTTTTTGATACATTGATTTATTAAGAAAATGGTGCCTAAATACAAATAAAATGGAATGCTCTTAATCTCTATTTACACACGAGACTCTAATGACTCTTTTTTGCCAAGAAATGGGCCCTATTGTGATGAGCAATCCCGAGTCTCGAGTTTTTAAACTTATTAGGCTTGTTGGCGAAAATTTAGGTCTCCTACCCTTATTACACAATACTTTGCTATGCCTAAGCCACATGGTGAAACATCTGGAACGGTTTTGTCACGTGTCTCTTGTTAAGTTTAACTTTGAAAGAGAATAAAGACAAACTATATTAATTGTATCTATAATGATTATAGTTTTTAAATTCAGCCAAATCTATCTTAAATCTTTATCCTTGGATGAAAATTTAGATGATAAATGGTATGGTTTATTTACTCAAAAAATATATATTTAACTAAGAATGAAGTAAATGGTACATTATGTTTCAGCAAAACTTCAAATATACATGTTCACATTTCATTCTGGTTTTATAACTATGTTTTTGAAATTGACTTGTTTTTAACGAGCTTTGCTTTCAGTCTTACATGTCAAATACTATTTAAACAGCGGATAAGAAGATATACGCTCGAGTCTTAACTTAGCCATTAAAGATCGTACCAAATGCCGTATAGAAATAAGGGTCTGAAGTGGCAATATCAGTCTAAAAAAAAAGCATGACCTCACCCGGATCAAGGGCATTTTCATCTTTCTATTTACATATATATATATTTACTTTTTTTCTTTATTTTTATTCCTTTTTCATTTGTTTCTTTCTATAAAAAAGACAAACTCAAAAAAGAAAAAGAAAAGCTTAAGTTTAAAAATAAAATGGAACACACAGCTCCACCTATGGCCACTAGCCGCCGCCCCGCCGGCGATGGGGCGGCAGCCACAGGTGGCTTGTTTTTTTTCTTTATAAAAAAAGCTTTTATTTTAAAAAAATTTTAATTTAATTTAACTAAAATTCATGTTAAAATTATTTTGGACGAAAATGCTCTTGATCAGCCGGAAAATTTTGGCCAGCAGGATTAGGCTTCTATAACCACTTTCAGCCCTTATTTGATATAAAATTCACTTCACGTCCTTATTTGAGAAAATGATCGCATTTCATACTCTTATTTAGAATTTTTCCTCACAAAAATGAGAAGGAATATATTTAAAGCACGTTTAATTGATAAATGAACTTGGGACACGATGGGCAACGGGTTGTTGCCCCTGCCCGAGCACCAGCATGAAAACTGTGTGGGGGAAAGGATCGAACCGGGCCCCTCGCGGTTAACGGGTCGGGCACCCGGAGGGCCCCCCCGCTCGGACGGGGGACACGTGGTGCCCGATCCGGAGAGGCGTCATCAACGAAGGGAGGGCGGGGGTGGGGCGTGTGGGCCCAACATGTCAACCTTCGACTCCACACGTAGAAGCATCCCATTGGGCCACAACATCCCCGAAGAATTAAAGTCCCTCCTCCTGTCCCTTTCTAACCAAAGGCAATCAAATAAAAATAAAATTATTTTTCCTCTTTTTCTTTTTCTTCCTTCTTTTTCAAGCTCCAATGCAGGAGGACGCGTGGCACCGAATCGAGGGGGATTTAAATTTCGAAACGGAAGGGACGCGTGGGGGACCCTACGCGTGCCTGGCAGGTAAAAGTCCTTCTCCAGTTAATATAATTGCACGATATCAATTTAGCAAAATTCAGACCAAAAAATAAATTTTTAGAAATTCAAATGAATCACACACACACATATATATATATATATATGTATATATATTCGTGAAGAGCATGTAAAACCTGTAGTCCAGTGATGTAAAATTTGAATCTCATACCATATTAGAATGACTATTTGGCTTCATTTAATTTGCGAAAAATTAATTATTTAAAAAATATTTTTCTAATTTTAATCATTGTTGGCGTTTTACAAAAATGAATCAATGAAAAATATTGACTATTATTAATGACCCATGTCCATACATTTTTGTCGATGATGAGAATTTTTTCACTGCCTCTTTTTTTTAAAGATATAAATAAATGATCATAATTAGGAGAATGCTATTCAAATCATTAATTTTTTTATGAAATAAATGAGGCTCGTGTATAAGAGTATAATAATTCTGCAGGAAAATTCACGAGTTAAGTGGTAGGAGATATTTCGATGCCTGTAATTTTCGCGGTGAGTCATGTTATTCATCACACAGGTCGGCCCAAAAATAGGTTTCCCACCCATCGCATGATTAAGGTTGTAAGGAAAATTCTCCAACCCGCCGTAAGATGTCGGATTCGGCCACGCCACGCATGAGAGAGAGCGAGGGGGGCACACGTGGTCGGCTCCGACGGAGGAGAGAGGGTCGTTTGGAGGGAGATCGACGGCCGGGATGGCCTCGTTTAGGTGGGAGCACACTTGCCGTGACGCACACCAGCGAACCTGCCCCGTCACGAGACGACGCTTCTTCTTCTTCTTCTTCTTCTTCTTCTTCGTAGAAGAAGCAGCTTCTCTTTACTTCTCTTTGCGGAACTCGTTTCTCGGCGTGCGTGAAGAACAACAACGCAGCGGAGGAAGAGGCCGAGGCGGCGTAGCTCATCATGGGATTGCTTGCGAACCTCCCTTCTTATGAGCGCTCTTGGGTTCTATTTCGTGTCTTCGTTCTGGTGTTGTAGCATCAATCTGGCCCGGAAGCCGTTGCCATTTTTGGAGGGGCTCTGTTTCTTTGTCGAACTGTACAGGAGAAGAAGAAGAAGGTGGTAAAGCAAAAGAGAAAGGGAGGAGAAAGGCGATCCCTTTCCCTTTGCCAGTTCTTTCGATGGCGGAGATCTGCTGCGGGGTGGTGAGCGAGAGCGAGGCGAACCCGACGTGCAAACCGAGCTCGAGGGCGGCGAGGCGGCGGAGGATGGAGATCCGGCGGTTCAAGTTCGTCGGTGGCGGCGGCGGCGGCGTCACCCATCCTCGAGGCAGCGAGACGGAGAGCGGGCTAAAACGGAGGAAGCTGCTCGACGGCAGCGAGGGCTCTTGCTCCGACGAAGAGAAGCGCGTCGGTGGACGGGGGGACGGGAGATTGGAGCGCAAGGCTGCGTCCATCAGCGACGACTCGCTGAGCCTGATCAGAGCAGCGACGATGGCGACGGCTGCTTCTGCTCTGAGCAGGACACTGTCCAGCCCGGCTGCTCTACAGCTGCCGAGCGAGTATCCGAAGTTCGGAGTCTCGTCCGTCTGTGGGAGGAGGAGAGAGATGGAAGACATGGTCGCCGTCCACCCTTCCTTTTGCCGCCGGCGCGGCGAGCCCACCACCGAGCTGCATTACTTCGGTGTCTACGACGGGCACGGTTGCTCTCATGTAAGAATCTCGGGCTAACTAAAATTCAAACGACATCGCGAGCTTTTCAATCCTTAAAAATAAAGGATTTTTTCTGGTCAAAGCTCTAAAATATGATCTTTGGGTAGGTGGCAGTGCGTTGCAGAGAGAGGATGCACGAGCTGATAAAGGAGGAGCTGGCGGCGGCGAACAAGGAGGAGGGCTCGGCTCCGACGGGGTGGAGGGCCGCGATGGAGAGGAGCTTTCGCAAGATGGACGAGGAGGCGATCGCGTGGAACGAGGGCGCCGCGGCGGCGGCGGCGGCGTCGCACGAGAGGTGCAGGTGTGAGCTCCAGTCGCCGGAGTGCGAGGCGGTCGGGTCGACGGCCGTCGTCGCCATCGTCACCCCCGACAAGATCGTCGTCGCCAACTGCGGCGACTCCAGGGCGGTGCTCTCGCGCAAGGGCAAGGCGGTTCCTCTCTCCTCCGATCACAGGGTTGGTATTGCACTCTTCGGCTCGTCTGAGCTGAACCCGATCTTATGGATGCTTGCTATATTTTAAGGATTCATACATAAAATTACTATATTGAACTGAATAATTCAATCACGTATACGAATTTTAATGTGGTGATTTCTGGCAGCCGGATAGGCCGGACGAGCTGAACCGGATCCAAGAAGCGGGCGGTCGGGTCATCTACTGGGGCGGGCCTCGGGTCCTCGGAGTTCTCGCAATGTCAAGAGCCATTGGTAGGGCTCATCTGGTGGCACGTCATGATCGACTGTTTTCTGCATTTTTGGTTCTTGCATCTAATTGAATATGCTACTCGTTTTCTTTTTGGAGCAGGCGATAATTATCTGAAGCCGTACGTGAGTTGCGACCCGGACGTGACGGTGATGGAACGGACAGCGGACGACGACTGCCTGATCCTCGCGACCGACGGGCTCTGGGACGTGGTCTCCAACGACTCCGCGTGCGGGGTGGCGAGCATGTGCCTGAGGGGGAAGATCCCCGTGCCACCGGAGGATGCGGCGGCGGCGTCGGAGCCCACGGCTGCAGGGACGGGCAGGGCGAGGCCGGACAGGGCGTGCTCGGACACGTCGCTGCTGCTGACGAAGCTGGCGCTGGCGAGGCACAGCACGGACAACATCAGCGTGGTCGTAGTGGATCTCAGGAGATCTTGCTAGCACGGAGAGCTCTTTCCTTCCGTTGCTTTTATGGCAAAATTAAAATCAAGATCCGAAATTTGTTAATGGAAAGGGGAACAGAATTAAGTTCTTGTCTGTAATTTTGCCGGGTGATGAAGCAAATGAACTAACTTAGTAAATCACGAAATGGGGAATGAGGTGGTTGGCGATCTACTGCTTAATTACTTTTGCGGGTCCATTTTCTATTTCATCGTTTGCTCCGAACTACTTGTCACAACATGGCCAAACTTCCCAACATAAATATTCTAAGAGAAGTAACCTTGTAGAGCATTTCATGTGGAACGCTTTCAATTGATCTAACGAAAGTTCAAAACTTTGTTCCAAGTGAGTGAAGATGATGCGATGAATTCCTTGAATCTGAAGAAATTTCGCCAAAAAGATCGACCCTTTCTTTGGCAAACCAGTCCATCCCTGAAACGGAAGAAGATGGTTGAATTTTCAAGACTAGGACACTAGAACCTTGATGCAGACATCTCCGGGAAAGGCCCTCCGCATCCAAAGCCGTCTATGGAAAATTCCATAGTCCTCGAAAATCATAATTTTTAAAGCACTTTACATACAGCAATCGACTGTTCCCGGGGAGGAACTCAAATCATACACATGCTTAACGACATGAAATGCAAAATTGTCTGTGTGAACAGACTCAGCTGAGGTAGCGGTCAAAGTCCATGCAAACAGGTTGGTGGCCACACAACCTCATCGATGTAGAAACAACTAGTTCACAGGAAGCTTTCCACTGATTCCACGTCACAGATGATACTGAAAATGAAGGAAAAAATGAAGATGATGCACTGACCGAAAAAGAACCTTCCTCTGAGATGACTATAACCATACAGCCACTTCCAATTTCGAGAATCTCAACAAAATTTTCCCTCGCTACATTTCCTTGCCGGAATATTCAATGTGACCGGACTTCAAGGCCTTCAACTTTCTGTACCCCTTGTCGGTTCCGAAGATCCTGGCAAACATAGATAAACATGCCACCACTCAACAATGAGGCTTACGATAATGAAGGACATCATATGATCGACATCTCTATAAGGAGCAAAGCCCTGACCCAACAATAACTTAGAGCCGAAGAGAAAGAAGCATAATCGAAGATCATGTGGTTAGGAGGAGAATGTATCACCCATATCTCTGCTGCATGCAACAACTCATGTATTGTGTCCAAACGATGCGCTGTGCATATTTTTCTTACGAGCCTAAATGCTTACAGGATTCAAGATGCTAGTCCAATAAAAAAAGAAAGAAGTTTAGTAATCCCCCACCCCCTTTAGGGTACCATAGGCCCTCTAAATGAGATGATAGCAGAATGAAAATATTCTATGTTGAAACACTTATTCAATTACATCATTCACACAGGGTACGACATAAGAGTTGCTCATAAAACATTATCATCTAAGCATCATATAAAGCTGGCTAATTACAAATTATTTGCACGCCATTTCTACTCGGGAAAAGACACAATAAATGGATCAAGTAGACAAGTTCTGATACAGGAAGAAGTCTCTCAAGAAACAACAATAGAAAAAGAGTTTCAGACGAACTTTGGTTTGTGAAAGGCTCATAACACTCAATGCTGAAAAAAACATACATTCCTAGAGAGTGCAGCAGGCTACACAGGCCCAAATGCTCTGAAGGAATGATTCTAGGGTCAATATGACAATTCAGGTTACAACATGCACTGAAGGCAACTTAAACTTTTAAAGGTTGACCCTATTTTTGATCTGGAATGGTACGAAACTCCCATCCATTAGACATACATGGGACAATATTTACATATGTGCCATTCAAATAGGAAATGGGAACAGAAAATTGTTACGGTCTGTTTGGATTAACTTATACTTATTAAGTTTTTCTAATTGAAATCTTGCAGCTCGCACACTTTTGACCTTTTTGAAAGCAGGAATACTCAAAACTTCCACAAAATGCAAATGCTGACACGTAAGTTTCCCATATGAACTTCTTCATATTTTTTCAGAATTGATATTTTAAATTTGGGTTAATACCACGAAAAACCCTAAACTTTTACACATATGACAAATTTACCCCAAATTGATTTTTTGAACACGGAAAACCCCAAACTGGTACACTTGTGACAAATTTACCCCAAACCAATTTTTTGACCATGAAAAACATCAACTGGTATGCCTGTGAGAAATTTACCCCAAGCTAATTTTTTGACCACCAAAAACCCCAAACCGATACATCACTTGTGACAAATTTACCCTCCGTTAAATTGGATTAATACCACGAAAGACCACAAATTGGTAAACCTATAACAAACGGAGGGGTAAAACCCCAAATTAGTACACCTGTCAATTGCCATGTGTCATCCAACTCAGTAATTAGACACCAAAATTTAACGAAAACTAATGAAAGGGTAAATTTTTCACGGGTGTACCAGTTTGGGGTTTTTTGTGGTCGAAAAAATTAGTTTAGGGTAAATTTGTCGCAGTTGTACCAGTTTGGGGTTTTGGGTGGTCAAAAAATTAGTTTGAGATAAATTTGTTATAGCTGTACCGATTTGGAATTTTTCTTGGTCGAAAAATTAATTTGGGATAAATTTGTCACATGTGTACCAGTTTGGGGTTTTTCGTTGTATTAACTCTTTAAATTTTGATGGGAAAACAGAGAAGGAACTTCAGCTTATGCTTAAAGACAAACAAATAAAGCCTGAAGAAGTCTGTTACATCTGCAAACAGCTCTTGCCATTAAAAAGGACAAGATTTTACATGTGTAGCAAGTAGGAAATGCAGATGGCAAAGCAAGGTAGGTATAGAAGATAATATTAGCTCCCAATATTAGATATAGCAATGTCATATCACCCTTTTTAACTCATTGATGTAGGCCCTTTCCCACTCATTAGTTATAGTGAACATCCATAAGATGACAGTTAAAATACAAAGGAAAATAACAAAGGCAGAAGATAAAAAATGATAGGAAAGCAGTACTTTCACAGTCATTTTTGGCTTGGACTAGCTTAAAAGAATGATAGAACACAGAAAAATTAAATATTATGGCCTCCCAACAAGCATGAAGTAAAGAACTCACCAATCCATGTACACAAAGGTTGATGCGTAGTTTCCAGACTTGGTATACAGCAAGCGGTGGTGGTAATCATGAAAATCAGCGCTGAAAGATACATGAAAGAGGTATTTCAAGCAAAAAGGTCAATGGAGGAGCAACTCAATATAATGCACAATGAATCAAGTGACGAAATAGCACTTACCCCCCATATATTGGCAGAAAGTTTGAAAGGCTCCATGGGAAATGGTAACCACAATGAGCTTCAACTGTCTCCAGCACTCTGACTACCATCCATAACCATAAAGTCATCAGATGAGGCCCAGTAATGGCAGGGCCAATAATGGTTGCAAAACCAAGAAACAGTATCTCAGCAGGGTGCGCATATTCGGAAGTCAGTCCGAAGGGCGTGGCGTATCTGTGTGAATATGAATACATTCACATATTTTTCCAAAGAAAGGGCTAGAGGAAACTGTGAAAAGTTCTTGCTTACTCGTGGTGGACACTGTGAACATGCTTGTACAGCCATTTTGTATGTAGAACCCTGTGGCCCCAATAGAATACAAAGTCCTCAAGGATGAAGTAGAATATAACCTGCGTCAACACTGTCTTCCTGCAACATCCGAACGAGGAAGTTGGTAGCTCCTCAAGTAAAGGTACAAATAGATGGTAATGATGCATTCCAACCTTGAGGACTACTATGAACAATGTTGCAGAAAAAGAACATTTCACGTATAAAGAACCAGAAAATACCAGGGTGGCAGGGGAAGACTACTTCGCATGCCCATGAATCTGAAGACAGGATAGGAGAAAATCATCACTGGTAGGTTTACACACAGATGATACAGCACAAGACGAGTGATGCATTTTTCCTGAGCTGCAAAGGTGTTATTCTTCGGCTGCACAAAACGTTAAACTCTGTAAAGATGGAAGAAGGAATAGGAGAATACATAGATGGCATAGGCTGGTTGACAGGCAAAATTCAAGGTACTGCTCAAACAAACGTAACTAGGATTATTGACACAAACTTCAAGTTTAACAGCAGAAACCTCTCTGACCAGAGAAATGAGGTTGTCAATGCTTAGCTATACCATTCCTGTTCCCTTGATATTGCTAATCATAAATTGTTCAACTGTCACAAATGAAAACTTTTACCACTGGCAACAATCTTATTTCTACCCTTATTGCTTCAATATCAAGTACACAACATGTAAATGATAAGCTTTTGATAACTTTTATTGCCCACACTTCTAGACAGCATAATAGCAGAGACATATTCAAAATTTTGGATAAGCAAAATCTTAAATGAACATGAAAGGTGTTTACTCCATACAATTTTAAATGCCACAAACATACATATATGCATATCTTCGCAAGCATCTTTAGCAAAGATTGACTTTTAAAAACTGTAAGGTAGTTTCATCTGCTGTCTACACAAGATAACCACTTCCATTCACATGTTAAAAGTGGGAAAAAAAACTTTTAAAAACAAGACCAAGTGTGATATTATCAAAGATGGGAAGGCAAGAGGAAAAATCACACAAGAGGGAAAACTTTGTCATAAAAAAAGGTCCAACCTGTATTTTGTACTTGCTTAACCATCCTGCCCGTTCAAGAAATATGAAAGGCAGTCCTGATAAGAAAAACACACTTTCATGAAGAAAGAAACTCCCGAGGCAGGCCAGTTGAAAGTCGCTGAAATGGGTGACCAGATACTGCATCAAAAGAAAAAACAGACAACGAATATTAACTTATCCCCACTAGGAGGGTGAGTAGAGCTATGAGAAAACTGAAGGTGGCAAGTGTTTCTCAAATAAAAAAAATGTCGCTTTCTTCTTATGCCAATAGTGCGAGGGATACTTGTCAAAGGCAATTGAATCAAGGGGAGACAGAAAACCAAAGAATCAGAGCTTTATCATTGCCTGATAACAGGATAAACCATAAGAACAACAAGGAGCAAATAAAGATATAGAGCACCGACATTGATTTAGTTTTCTATCGATTGCGGTAACCATCAATAAGCCTAGCCAATCTTCTCTTGAAGTCGGCGATTAGTTAGGCCAGGGAGGAAGACAAGCTAAAAAACCACAAGACAATGATCTCGGTAAGAATTGGCACCGTAAACCCATAAGACTTTGGATTTGCGTGACTGGATCGGTGGACAAAGAAGGTGCAGGGGCGAAATTTTAGTCACTTCAATGACACATAAGCTCCGGTGTATTTTGCCAGTTATCTTGCCCCATAGAAATTGCGAAAAACAGAACACCAAGGAACACATCAGGACGAAATGCAGACATGCAGACTTTCTAACATCCAAGTATTGAACATCACATCAGACAAGCAGAGAACAACCCAGAATCGATTGACAAGGCCATCCCTTTCATTTCCTGGTGCCCCCAGAAAGTGCTCTAAACTGTGCCAACCTTCGATACGATGCCCGCATGTCCGTTTGAATTAACATTACAAAAGATCTTCGATCCCTAATCCGCAGCGCCGACTTCGTAAAAAAAAAAAAAAAAAACTCAATCGTCACGTCGGCAGATGGACTTTCCTTCCGGAGCAAATGAAGGGGGGAAAAAGAAAGCAGAGGAACGGAGCATGCTCAAGACGAAGACACGAATGATTGCCCAGAATCGTCACGTCCACAGTGGGCAGAGACACTGGTCATCCACCAGCCACAGTGCAAAGCTTCCACGAGCTACTCGTGTGTGTGTGTTTTTTTTTTATTATGAAACAGCTAGAGAACAAACAGACAAAAAAGAAAAGGAAGAAGGTCAAGGATCTAAATCGAACATCAATTGCCTCGCGCCGAACGGAGTCAAACCAGCGCTTATCGCTAGAGAGACGCAATCGAAACGCGACCACATAAAAAAGAAGAGAAAAAAAAGGGGGGAGGGGGGGACAAAAGAAAGAAGACAATCCGAAACCACCGAATGCATCGCCACATTCCGCCAGTCCAATGCTGTCCCCGACACCGCAATCGCTCGCAAAGCGATCCCCCTCCCCCCTCGGGGGTCGCGAAGCCGGGGACCGCGATCCACGGCTCCCCTCTCGGAACCAACGAAAACGAGAGCGAACGGCGCCAGGCTCGATCGTAGCCCAACAAAAAAAAACCAACAATCGATTTCCGACGACGGGGAGCAGAGATCCAGATGCAGCCAGGGGAGCGGGAAAGGACCGAACTCAAAGCTAGAAGGGGAGGAAGTAGGGGGAAGCAAGAGAAGCGCGCACGCAGAGAGAGAGCAAAGCAAGCCAAACAGAGAAAGCGATGGAGAGAGAAAGAGGGAGAGGGAGAGGGAGAGTACCAGCCAACCAGATTCGATGATGGAAGCCATGACGAGGACGCAGAGAGAGAGAGAGAGAGAGAGAAGGAGCGAGACCACGGGCGGGGTTGAAAACGGCGAATGGTGATGGTGGTGGCAGCAGAGTGAAGCCAAGGACTGAGTTGAGGGGGAGAAAGATTATATAGAGAGAGAGAGAGAAGACACGAGATGAGACAGACTGTCAAGGGGGAGGGGGAATCTGAGGGCCCCTCCCTTTTTAATCCATTATATTATTAAAAGAAGCGAAAACGACGAGGTGAATGCGAGCGGTTCTGCCTACGTGCCCTCCTCCTCCCCTAAATTTTGCCCCTTCTCTTTCTTGAGCCTTTCCCATCGTGTGTCGCTCTTGCTTCTTCTTCTGCTGCCCCCAGATCTTTTTCTCTTCTCTGTGGCTTTGGCTCAGCTCCACCAAACCTCACATGGCTTTTCCCCGCTTTGACAGTGACATCACCGCACGGGCGGATCCCTGTCTGTCTCCGCCTCCCCCACCCCCCCCTTTGGACATCACCCCACTTCAATCTCTCGCGCCCACAATAAGGGATATTTCGGAATTCATCTAACGACAGAACGTAATTTCGACATCCAGTTCTTTCCTTTCGATCGAGAATATCCCGAGTTTAACATCTCAAAATTTAGACGAATCCTTTTGAATACTTGCTTAGGTCCACTCGTCACCCCCTTTCTCTCGTTTTGGACATCACCCACTTCGATCTCGCGCGCCCACGGCAGGGAATATTCCGGAATGCATCTAACGACAGAAACGCAGTTTCGACGTCCAGTTCTTCCCTCTCTCACCTGAGAATATCCCGTGTTTTAACATCTCGGAATTCGGACGAAGCCATTTAAAGACCTGCTTAAGTCCCACTCATCACCCCCTATTTTTCGTTTTGGACATCGCCCACTTCAATCTCGCGCCTACAGTGGGGGATATTCCGGAATGCACCAAAAGGCATAATGCCATTTTCTCAAAAAGAGACCCCCCGAGCGATACTCGTCCTCGAATTGCCCCCTCAAGATGGTCTGCCGAGTTTCAAGTGTCTCAAACCATCCTCTAGATGGACTCTTGGGTTTTGATTTTGAATGATATCGCATCCCCCTTTCTTGCCGTTTGGATCGGCGCATTCTTTCCCCCCCCTCATAAAACCTCGATCGTATTTGAGAGAGGACAACGTGCCATATATACTCGATTGGAGTGCGACAGGCTTCGCATGCATGATTTCACACAAAGACTGATAAAATTTATGTAAACTTGCAAAAAGGCGACGATCATGGCGCCGATCCTTTCTTCCATCACGTACAAGCCCACCACCAATTCCAACGAACAGTTTGCATACTTGATCGAGTCTGCCAAACACGACAGCAAAGATGGTTCAGTGGAGCGGCCTCGCATCAACTAGTCGAAATTACATGGCGTTTTACATATTCACATACATGTAATGCTTTTGACAAGCTTACATTGGACATATAAATTCTACAAACAACCGAGTAATATCGTTTAAGTAATTTCACGTGCATGGAAATTGAAGCGCATGCTCAAGACTAAATTGAAATTCACCTGTGAAACGAGTGAATCAAGTCGAGTTCAAAGTTTAAGAAATCTACTTATAGATAATTGCCAATTGACAAGTCTCGCTGCTCCCGGTACTATGTTGTGTCAAAGGCCTTTAAGAAAAGACGTGCCCACTCAAGATTGCTACAACCAATTTCGATAATACACGTGGCAATGACGGGTGATTGCACAATTATTGAGCGAATGGCCTTTGACCGAATACTGCGTTTGACTCTTCGGGCGGACATCACTATCGATCTCACCCACAGACCCTCACGTCTTCCCGTAAAGTCTGAATATGTACTCTCCCACGGTCAAAGCTTTACCCAGCTTGACTGTTTTCTTTTTAAATTTATACTGATATGTACGGTCTCGTAAAATCCTTGTCGCCTGCTTTAACCATGCCTTTTAGAAAAAAGGAAAAAAATAACATAAATGATTCCTAAACTTCGATCAAATATACAATATAATTTCTAAATTTTTAATTTATTTTTAATTAAATATGTAATATGATTATTAAACTTTAAATTTATTCAATGTGATTTTTAGACTTTTGGTACATATTTATCTTAGTCCATGAATTATATAAAAATGTTCAATGTGGGTACATTTTCATCTTAGTTCGTGAACTATATGAAAATGTTCAATTTCATGGACTGAGATGAACATGTATCGAAACTCCAAGGACCATATTGATCAAATTGAAAATTGAGGGATCATATTGCATATTGGGCTAAAGTTCAGGAAAAATATTGAACAAATAAAAAATTCATAGATCACATTAAATATTGACCAAAATTCAATGATCATTTATATCGTTATATCTTTGAAAAAGGCCACATAAGATCCACATTCGTGCTCAAATTGGTACAATTTGCCCCCAGAAATGTGATCCTCGTTTGCAAACAAAATCTTTCTCAATTTAACCCTTGAAATCTGACAAGCTAAAGAAATTCGAAAAAAGAGACCAAATGGATTCCGCCTATCAACCAGATAAAATCGTTTTTTTCAATAATCAAGATAATTTTTCAGTTATCTTTGAGTATTTCACCTTCTGAATTTGAAAAGAAGCCAAAGGTGCGTTTGTTTAAGGGAAAGTGTTTTTTAGGAATCCGTTTTCGGGACTTTCATCCGTTTGGCTCGCCGAAAATGATTAGTTAACTGAAAACATTTTCCAGTCAAAAAAAACATTCATTGATAAAATTAGGAAAGTAAATTCCCTAATCAAAGAATGTTAAAACACTTTTCAGAATTGCTTCCCTTGACTTTTTTGATATTTTATTCTTTTTTTCTTTTCTTTTCTTTTCTTTTCTTTCTTTTTTTCTTTTTCTTTTTATTTTTAAAAATAAAAATATTAAAAAATTCGAATTTATTTTTTTGCCCGAGATAAAATCATGGGAATGAAATCATTTTCCAAATGAGATCCAAACACCAGAAAACGTTTTCAATCACATATCATCAAACAAAGGAAAACTATCTATTTTCCTGGAAAATGATTTTCCGAAAAACATTTTCCAAAAACGTTATGTTTTTCTTGAAACAAACGCACCCTAATTGTCAAATATTTCATAAATACCTCGTATTTCGATTTTATAATGATTTAAGTGCATATCCCAAAATAGACCAAAATCGTTTTATACATATTCTAACTACTTATTTCAAGCGCAACACGTATGTTCTTTTTCAAGTGTACTCTACACGAAAAAAAAGTCATATATATACTCCGTCATAAACATGATGTGTAGTTCAAAATCTTACAACTAATCTGTTTTGAAGATTTTGTCGTTCCAATTTTTTCTTTTTTTAATTTTGAGATAGGTCTATTTTTTCAGTAGTTTTTTAACATGAGGAGATTTTCGTGTGGTTAGAGCGGACGATTGCCAAAGGCGTTATTCGTACAGTGACGGAGGTCACGGAGATCGCAATTCTAGGGTTCGACAAGACGGACTTATGGTTAAGGCAATCAATCGTCCGCCGGTAGAAATCCGGCGAGATACAACGGCGGAGCCGAGGAAGTGCACATCGTAGATCAGCCCCGCAACAAGAATTGTCGGGATCGTGGATCGCGCGATGGCCCGAGGTTCTGCAGATGTTAGTCCTCGACCATAGGTATATTGTTTATCGTAGCGACGTTAATGGCCTAAGCTTTTCACATTAGTGTAAGGTTGTGATAATGTGATCATGGCCGACGAGAGAAAGGGCAATGGCCGAAGATGTTGTTCCTCTAATCCTGATGAAGGCTTCAGAAATCGCAATGCTAGTATTCGACGAGAGGGTTCTTTCCGTTTACGGTGCTCCAGCGACGGTGGCGTCGAGAAGGCAAATGCTGTGGACCTAACCGGCGATTCCGGCAGCCGATCGGAGAAATGATAACTGCTATTATGGCTATGGCGATCGGAGCCACAACGGGCACGTGTTGTGGATTGACACGCCGTGAGGAGGATCAAAGGCAGGATGGCGGATCGTCGTCGTCGTCGTCCGAAGGCCGTGATTGGGTAGAGATGAGATCTCGGAGAGGTTATGGCCGGTGAGGGTAAGATGACGGAAGCCACCGCGGCGAGGGGAATCGCGGAGATGGCCGGAGGAATGGCAAAGAATCATCTTGTGCTGAAGCCTATGGCGTCTCAATTTGAAAGCACGATTGTATCAATGGCAATAGAGACGTGTAATGTCGAATTCAGTGTAATCTAATATATTTGTACATCAATTTAAGACGATCCTCCAATCGCTCGACCGAACGAGCAATGAGGCCACATCGAAATAATCCATCTCTACCCTACACAAAACCAAACCAAAAATCTGCACAACATCACGTACACAAAGCGCCTAGGCGAAATCGAAACCAGACCCGGTCGACCAAATCACCCGCCGCCGCCGTCCCCCTGGGAAATGTAGACCGCCCCTACGAACATAGCTCCCGAGGTGCCGCCGCCATCGGCGTTGGCGGCTCCGTGGTGGTTGACCGCGACGTGATGGCCGGCACCTAAAGTGCCGTGGCCTCGGCCTCTCGGGTTGCGAGGTTGCTGACGCGGTTCGCGATCGGAGGGCGGGGCCATCCGCCGCCGGTTGCGCGGCTCGCTACGCCTGCTCTCGCCGCGATGATCCGGCTTACCAATGCAAAAACATAAGTTCAAGCCCTTCATTTCAAGAAGAGGTTCCAGAACGCAAGAGGAGGTTATACATATATAGCACTAGCTAGACTAATTATAGACAGACTCGTTCCATCACAAATCCTGCTCCTCATTATCCATATCACTTTTGAACTAACATTGTGGTTTTATCTTATTTTCCTTTTTTTTTTTTTCCCCCTTTCCTCTTTATTTTCTTCGAAATAATAACGGGAAAAGTGCCAAAAAAGTCCTAACCGTTAGCTTGAGTGCAATTTAGTCCTAAACCTTTTTTGGTGCCTTAATTCGGTCCTAAACCTTTTGCATTGGTGCCAATTTAGTCCTAAACCTTTTTTTGGTGCCAATTAAGTCTAAACCTTTTAAATTGGTGCAAATTCAGATCCTAACCTTTTTGTTTTTTGTGCCAATTTAGTCGTTCCGGCCAATTTAGACCGGAATTTGCCTACGTGGACGCCTGCCGGCCGGCGGCCGGTCACCGGCGCCGACGTGGCGCCGACGTGGACAACTTTAATATTTTTTTAATATTTTTTTGAATTTTTATTTTTTTCCTTTTTTTTTCTTTTTTTTTCCACTTTTTTTTTTGGTTGTCTTCCTCCTTACTCTGGCCGGTCGCCGGTCCGGCGACCGGCCAGAGGCCAGAGGCCGGCGAGGGCGAGCCTCGCCTTGGTCGGGCGAGGCTCGAGCCCTCGCCGGAGGCCGCGGCGAGGGCGAGGCTCGAGCCCTCGCCGGAGGCCGCGACGAGGGCGAGCCTCGCTGGAGGCCGCGACGAGGGCGAGCCTCGCCATGGTCGGGCGAGGCCCGACCTCTCCAGATCCGGCGAGGTCGGGCCTCGCCCAACCAAGGCAAGGCTCGGGCCCTCGCCGGAGGCCGCGGCGAGGGCGAGCCTCGCCATGGTCGGGCGAGGCCCGACCTCGCCGGATCTGGCGAACGCTCGACCTCGCCAGATCCGGCGAGGTCGGGCCTCGCCCGACCATGGCGAGGCTCGCCCTCGCCGCGGCCTCCGGCGAGGGCTCGAGCCTTGCCTTGGTCGGGCGAGGCTCGCCCTCGCCGCGGCCTCCGGCGAGGTCGGGCCTCGCCATGGTCGGGCGAGGCTCGCCCTCGCCGCAGCCTCCGGCGAGGGCTCGAGCCTCGCCATGGTCGGGCGAGGCCCGACCTCGCCGGATCTGGCGAGGTCGGGCCTCGCCGGCGGCTGGGCGAGGCTCGACCTTGCCAGATCCGGCGAGGTCGAGCCTCGCCCGACCATGGCGAGGCTCGGCCTCGCCGGGCGAGGCCGCCCTCCCCAGTGGCCGGCGAGGTCGAGCTCGCCGGCCACTGGCCTCTGGCCGGTCGCCGGACCGGCGACCGGCCAGATGAAGAAGAAACCAAAAAAAAAAAGTGGAAAAAAAAAAAAAGGAAAAAATAAAAATTCAAAAAATATTAAAATATTATTTAATTTGTCCACGTCGGCCCACGTCGGCGCCGATGACGGCGCCGCCGGCTATGCAGTTCCACGTAGCAAATTCCGGTCTAAATCACGGAAGGACTAAATTAAGACAAAAACAAAAGGTTAGGGATCGACTAAGACCAATTTAAAGGTTAGGACTTAATGCACCAAAAAAAGCAGTGACTAAATCGCACCATGCAAAAGCAGGACTGAATAGACCAAAAAAGGTTTAGGACTAAATTGGCACTAATGCAAAAGGTTTAGGACTTTTTTTGCACTTTTCCCAAATAATAACAATGGATAATCACATTTTTTGTCCGTTATTTAGTGACATAGTTGTAATGTATATCGCATCACGTACCCATTATATTGGACATCTTGAAAAATGACTTAGATTGAATGATGATGTTACTTTACGATATACATGTCAGAGATGAGCAGTCCGTCTACTTCCTGTACCTTCCTCGATTATATCTACATGCACGTACGCGTATGCCTCACACATCTCCTATCGAATCAAATTGAAAATATTCGAAATTATTCCTTCTTTTTAGCCGTAGCGCGACTAATATAAAAATCCGAGATGCGATAGAGACAACTCAAGCTGCACGTGATGAAATCTACAACCTAAAAAATAAAATCTAATATAAAAAAGAAAAAATCCGAGGAGGCGGAAGGGAAAAATGTCTGAGCCCGGGTTCGAACCGGGGACCTCTAGTGTGTGAGACTAGCGTGATAACCGACTACACCACCCAGACACTATGTGACCGGTTCTGCCCTAGTTTATATATAATAGAGTGTTCTGAATCGTCAGACAAACCTACAACAATAGGTTGGTCCGAATTCTTCTTACCCTCCCCCTTGTTTGGCTGGGTGAGGTTCATTCATCTTTACTTGTTCCTGGATTGTAAGTGAAGGACAATGGATTTGCAATTGCCGATTGCCGCCGTTAGCTAGAGTCGTCGATTTCGACTCCCGTTTTCGGTTCCCAAATTGTCGAACTGGTAGCAATAACGGGAATGCAGTGCCCGTCTTATGTCAAATGAGCTCCCTGCCGAGCCGGAAGGAACGAAGACGCCCCGACTAGATTGGCGCTGGTCGAGAGAGTTTATTTAGGATCCCGGGAACATTTGAGTATGAATACAGACTAGAGAGAAAAACCGAGAAAGCTCATTTAACTGTGACATTCATTCATCAAATGCCATTGTGATCTTATGAGTACAGAAAAGCTATACAAGTAAAATGTGTTGTTTCAGACGGTACATCAGGTCGCTCTCTCCTTGTTCTCAGACAACCCTCTGTATGTAAATCACGATTGGAGGGACAGATTGAATTTGTCGTCGAATGTAAGTTCCGGACGCCTTCATTCCTTCATTCACAGCACGAGCATGGTTGAGTTTCGGCGACGTTCTGGGATCCTGAACTATACTTTTTGCCTTGTGTTAAAGAGAGGTTTATCGAATGAATCGTGCCGGCAGCTACCAATAATCCCCGCAGGAGCATGCCCCATCTTTGAAACGGTGAATACGATTCACGTCCCGGACGAGGATCTCTCTCTTTGTATACTTGGAAATGAATTTCGTCACAGAGTGACAGTCTTCACATAACCTCAAGTTCTTGGTAACCCGTATCGTCTCCCCCTTGGCGCTGTTGATGAGTCCAAAGGCCACGGCTAGTTTTTCACTGTGCCCCAACAAAATGCGTTCCTTCTCCTCCAAATCAAGATCGTAATGCACAATTTCGGTTTGCGGCACATACCCGTCTTCCTTCATCTCCATTGACAAATTCAGCAACAAGGCATGGAGCTGCTCAATCTGTGGATTCAATTCATCGACTGAAGCAAAGGAATATATCTTCCTTTTGACTTCAGTCCAACTGCGACCGGGGACCTTTTGCAGTCTCCGAGCTTCGAGAAGTTTCTTCACTCTTCTCACCTCATCCCACATCTTGGCCTCCGCGTAGATATCGGCTAGGAGAACATAATTTCCAGCATTCATGGGTTCGAGCTCGAAAAGCCTTGCGCTCGCTCTTTCTGCAAGCTCGACATTGCAATGAATCCTGCACGATCCAAGGAGCGATCCCCAAACTTTAGGTCCTGGTTCAATCCGCATCTCTTCTATGACTTTGACTGCTTCATCTAATCTATTTGCCCGGCCAAGAAGATCCACCATGCAAGCATAATGCTCCACACTAGGGAAAATCCTATGTTCCCTTACCATCGAATCGAACAACATCTTCCCATCCTCGACAAGCCCTGCATGGCTGCAGGCTCCTAAAACACTAACGAAGGATATGGGACTCGGCGAGATTCCACTGATGATCATCTCGTTGAAAACCCGAATTGCCCTCTCTCCAAACCCGTGAACCCCATAACCCGAGATTAATGAATTCCAGGAAACTACATCCCTCTCATCCATCTTATCAAAAACTTGTTGAGCTCGGTCAAGCTTACCGCATCTTGCATACATTGTCACCAGAGCACTAATGACCGGCAAGATCGAGTCCAGACCTCTTCGCAGAAGATATCCGTGAATCAACCTACCCTGCTCCAATGCAGCAAGCGCAGCACAGGCTTGCAGCACGCTGACCATGGTCACAGAATTTGGAAGCAAATCATGGGTCATAAGCATCATCTCCCTGAAAAGTTCCAAAGCCTCAAAAGGCATCCCATTTTTAGCATAACAAGCTATCATTGCACTCCAAGAAACTACATTTTTCTCCGGCATCTCGCCAAACACGATTCCGGCGCATTTCACGCACCCAAACCTGGCATACATGTCCACCAAAGTAGTCATGATATGAACATGGCCCCCGTACCCATGCCGCAGAATTTGGGCATGAATCTCCCTTCCCTTATTCAAAAGCGAGAGGGCGCATTCCGAAGCCACGCATGCTTTCAACACATAGGTGTACGTGAACCTATCCGAAGGAATCCCGACCCGGTTCATCCTTCTATACAAGTCAAAGACCTCGCGTCCATGACCCGCCAAGGTGAGCGCCCTAAACAGCGCGTTCCAAACATAGATAGTTCTCACGCGAGTTTCCTCAAACACCTTCCGGGCATTCTCGACGGCGTCCAGCTCGGAGTACATGTTGATAAGCTTGGTCGCCAGGAACGGGTCCTGGTCGAACCCATTCTCCAAGAGATGGCGGTGAACGCTGAGGCCGTCGGGGAGAGAGTTCCGGCGGGCGCAAGACAGGATCAAGAGCTCGTAGGTGCGCTGGGTGGGGTCGGGTTCTTGAGATAGGACGCGCAGCGCCCGCTTCAGTTCGCCCCTCTTGCACAGACGTTGGATGACGTGGTTCTTGTCGGCGGTGGAGGTGGACGTGGACGTGGAGGTGGAGGTGGAAATGGTGGGGTTCGATGCTGAAGAGCAGAGGGTCGGTCTGCAGGAGCCGCGAGCGGCCGTGCACTTGAGGTGTTTGCTGAAAGGCGGAGGAGGAGGAGGAGGAGGAGGGGGTTGTTGAACGGTTTGGGGAGACCGAAACGCGAACATCACACGAGAACACGAGAGAGAGAGAGAGAGGGGTCGGGGAGATAGCAGGAGCGACCGGGAAGGCGAGGTGATGGTTGGTGGCAGCGAGTGCAGAACCGAGGGAGGGGAGACGAAGGGAGATTGCAGTGATTTTTAATTTTTCTTTTGAAATCCTTGTCGCTTGTTTTAGCTAATGTCTTTACAAGGGAAAAAGTCAGCAAAAATCATAAATTATGTCCAATGCAAAATATTTACTTCAAATTTTTCTCTATGACACACAAAGAATCTCAAATTTGTATTCGTGTGATATATTCACCTTAATTTTTTTTGTGACATAAAAAATCCCAAACTTATACCCGTGTGACACATTTACTCCACATTTGTGATACAGGGTAAAGGCGTCGCATAGAAACACATTTAGGGCTTAAAAAGTTGTGGTAAATATGTCATATTGGTATAAGTTTGGAATTTTTTATATCACAAAAATCTTTTTTTCTCAATTTAGCCCATGAAATCAGGCAAGTTAAAGAAGGTTGAAAAACGAGACTAAACTTGAGGGGATCAATCATATCAGGCATCTGCCCATCCCTCCCGTACGCTCAAAGGAAAATACCGCCGATCAAATGATAAACTCGTCTTCCCCAATAATCAAGATAGTTTGTTCAGTATCCTTTGAACCTTTCACCTTCTGAATTTGAAAAAAAGAAGAAGATAGAGTCGCAAGAGGTTTATAAAATTCACAAACACCATTACTAACCCAAGACATGACAGACGAAGGCCACTTTTCAACTCCCTCAGTCTTCAGCAATTCGACCGATTCTTACTGACTTCAAGCGATCATTTTCAACCGCTCAGACAAAACACAAGCACTTGACCCAACAAAGACAAAACACAAGCACACCAAGCTCTCCACAATGCTCAAAACACAACCCAACCTCAAATAGTAAGATAGTCGGCTCGTGGATACGTCGTAACCCCTTAAGCTATATCAGAAGCACTACCCTTTACGGTAACCAACTTGAACAAAGAAGCCACCCGTTCGACGAGTTAATCACCAGTCAATTCCACACACGTGCGTCCATAAACCGTAACCGAGCAAATAGTATCACATCTTTTAGAACGTCTTGTGCCCTCATATCAAGCTCAAGTATGAGAGGCAAATAGAGTCACAACGTGTGCAAATCCTCATCGTTTCCTCGACTCATTGACCCTGGATAAAAGGATCAATTCAGAACAGAATATCTCCATCGTCTCATCTCAATGCACCATACGGTGGTTTCAATTAGTCGCATCGCTCCTTTTTTGTTGCCAAGTGGTGCTTAAGTCTGCCAGTACAAAATGTGTCGACACCTATCAGTTTCACGAGAACAAGACCTGTTTGGCAAAGACCCCTTCCAGAAAGCCCAAGGCAATCATAACTTTATTTCGACTAAGCGCATAAGATGCATGACATTTCACTAGCTCAAGATACTAATGGATTGTAGCACGAAAATAAAACCAGCGCTTCTTCTTTTTTCCAGAAAGCAGAAAACCAAACCCACTTTCCAATAAATTAAGACTGACTTCCATTCCTTCCGTTTTATAAGCAAGAAATGCAGATTCTCATTCTAATGTGCAACAGATGAGCAATTGAAATTATCTTATATTAAATTAACAAGAGAAACCCAAAGAGACAATTAGGAACCAGGAAGAACCATGCACAGGACATGGTACAATTGGCCAGCACACTGAGGCAGTGATATTAGCCACATGGCCATCTCGGTGGTCACACTTTCAATCAAATTATTAGCAATTTGATGAACAACATTTACGATCAATTGTCTCCCAGCTCAGAATAATTCAGCCACTCCAGAAAGAAATAATATGCCTAGAAACTGGGCTAACTAGCAAACCGTAAATTTAGGTTCCTCGGTGGACCGATTGGCAATCAGCAACATTCTTCATAGAAATTTCATAATGTAAACAAGACTGAGAACCTGCCAAAGAATGTGTGACACTCCATAAAATGCCAGTAATAAGCCAGCCAACCTCGACAATTTTTTTACTAAAGCATGCCAACCTCTAGGAAGTTTTTACAAGAGCACTAAACATATAATACAACCAGTAGGCTCAGACATTCTACATCGCAGGCATGCAGCTCCCTCGCAGACAAAATGGAGGTCATCTTTGTTAGGCGGCAGCAGGATCATTTATCACACCCAAGAAATCATCCTTAATGGTGCCAATGCAGAACTGAAAACAACAAATGAACAAACTATCAGCTATGCTAGCTAGAATTTACACGTAAATCAGTTGACCGAGACATAATCAAATGCATGCTGATATGCCACTACTAAAGTTGCATGGTACGTGCAGTATCAACCTACTAATAAATTCCACTTCTTTGGTAAGCATGATTCCAGATTTTTAAGACTTGAGAATAAATAAGGAACTAGATTTTCCTATCTTGTCTTATTTGTCGGAGGGATTATCCTTCGAGGGAGGAGTTCTCAGTCACTCAAGAGGCCTTCTGACTATTCTGAAATACTAAAGCTAAAGGAGGCCACTCATCAGACAATGTATTCCTAGTGAAGAGAACGCTCTAGTTGGAAGAATGAAAGTAACTAATTTGGCCCTCCATTAGTAGCAGAGTTAACTATGACTCTAGCATGCTTCTTAAAGCAAAACTTTCAGCAGATGAAACTTGGAAGGGGCACTTGCTAGATCTGCAGAATTGCTTGATGATATGTTATCTATTTTGGATCCTGATGAACAAAACTGGAATCTGAAGATACGTAGTTCACTCTCCACAGTCCGGATGGTATTAGAACTAAGCCTTTAAAAGCAAAACGGGAGATGCCTGTGGTCCATCCATCCATCCTAAGCATTCTCTAATCACTTGGTGACAATTTTTGTGGTTCATGCTTCCATCTCCAAGAGAATACACACAATCGGGAAATTGGCATGTTAGCTGCAGCATCCAGTGTCCACTAAGAACTAAATCAAAGGATGGCATTCCTTGATTTAGTAATCAAAATATAGATATATAAGTTGGTGACAATTTTTGTGGTTCATGCTTCCATCTCCGAGAGTATACACACAATCAGGAAATTGGCATGTTAGCTGCAGCATCCAGTGTCCACTAAGAACTAAATCAAAGGATGGCATTCCTTGATTTAGTAATCAAAATATAGATATATAAGCAATTTGGCTTTAAAAGAAGTTATAGTGATCCAAATACTAAATGAGCCATCTACAATTCTAAAGCAAAAGCTTTCTCAGTCCTCTTCTGGAAACCTGTTTGGATGAAAGTAGGTAGTTGCCACTAATTATCTTAATGCTTCAAAGCAAACTATTGATCACAGTTAGGTACATGATAGAAGTAAGGCAGTATAGTATAAAGAAAGAAAGCCATACTATCTCGGTCGCATCTACGCGAGTCCCAATTATCTTTAGTCTTACTTCGCTGTCCTTCTGGATTTTTACCTGAAAGAAATCATAGAAAACTTGAACAATGATATAAACCTAAAGACATATTTTGCCCCCCTTTGAAAAACATACCGATCCATCTGATGTCGTATAGTTTGGCATGTCTCCAGATTGGAACTCCATGTCATCTGGTATCAACTGAAACTCAAAGATGATGATTTAACAGTCTGAGTAATTGAAAAAATAAAAGCAAGAGACACATAACTTGACGAGTAGTTCTATCCCCCTTAACTTGACAAGTAATTCAAATGCATGAGAAAGTAAGAAAGCATAGAAATTGGTCCACAAAAACTCACGGGAAAATTTTAGTACGATTAGAATGCATAAAAAGACTCTTAGAAGCAACAGCTCAAGCAAGTAACAGACTTACGTGGTTTGAAACAAAAATCTGAACCGGACCAGCTTCGGCAAAAAATCCCATCTGTGTAAAAGTCATGGTTATTAATCTTCACAACTGTATCTTCACACTACAGGATCATTACTAAACATGAATATGAAAAGAATGCCTCACCTTGTTCACCATTGTGACAACAGCCTCTAATATCTCTCCTTTGAAGGGCCTAAACACAACGCACTGGTACTTCACAGGGAACGTCACGAACCCCGTCCCCTCTCGAATCAATCCTTTCCCAATATTCTCTATACCAGTAATCGCCACCACGAAACCGTGCCTACCACTGCACCAAAGAAAGGATCACATGATGCCATGCCCAGGAGCGGTGAAGTAACGAGTTTTCTCTCCAATGGCCATGCCTCCACTACATCAACATTAAGCATTCTAAAAGAATTATGATCACACACAATCTTGCTCTAAAAGATTGAGTGGGCGGAAGAAAAAGGAAGAACTTTTACTATCCATTACGCATTCAATCACAAGAAACATTCCCTGTGATGAGGAATTGGAAGAACACCCCCCCTCGGAAATCAAGGAGCACTTTCAAACTGACAAAACCCTTAATCCTTGACAAGGGGCAAGATACCTTCAAGTGCCCTAATTCTCTACCCTGCTCTCCAATCCAAATTACGCGCCAATCGTTTCTTTTGGGGGGGGGCACAGAGCAGAGGGTGCAAGGGGCAACTACATCTAAGCCCTCTCGCGAAATCAAATTCCACAACCCCTACGCAGGGAATCGAACACGGTTCGCGGAACGCACAGTGGCAAGAACCGATTGAATCTTGAGACCGACGCGGAAACAACGCGCGAAGAAAAGAGGGGCAGAAACCATCGAAGGAAGAGAACCTGCAAGTGCCCTCGACGTCCTTCATGAGCTTGGCGACGAGGTTGTCGCGGAGGTTGCGACCGAAGAAGCGAGGGTGGAGCTGCATGTTCCTCTCCAGAACGATGTGAAAGAACATCTTTCGACCCCACCTCTCTTCCCTCTCCCTCCGACAGAGATTCTGCGGTCGCGGCGCAGAAGCAGATTCGAAGTCGAGATCGGGCCTTGATGCCGACGGCGAGGGCGGAGCGGGACGGCGGAGCTTCGCTCGGCTCTGTGTACCAATGGACGGCGGTGCAAGGCCGTGCTTCGTTTATACTGCTCTCTCTCAACTTCCATGAGGGGGAAATCGCCGCGTTGTTATGATTGATTTATAAAAGGGAAATTAGAATCAAAAAGTTTTAAATTGCAACTTTCAAAATAGTGCATTATTCTACGGGCAAATTTTTTTTTTTTTGAGAATATGGTTCCCTTATAAAAAAAAATACATAATATGGAATTCCATCGAAAATCTTTTTTTTTTGTTAAGTTGAGCTTTGTTTTAGGTACTTGCATATCTTCATTTATGAGATTCGAATAAACGGGGTAATTTTTTTCGTTTACTAATAAATTTTCTTTTTAGTTAGTGAAAATATTTTTCTACTTTCGTTTATCTGCGTTTTAGTATATTAAAGAATTCCACTTACTTGGGACATGTGAGAGTTTCCCTTTCAAAATATAGCAAAGAAAATAGGAAGCCATAGGAAGTAAAAAATTCTTCCAATTTCCTCCATAAAATAGTGGGCTAGCCGGGCTTTTCTTTTTTAAATGAGCGTGGGTGAAGATGTGGTCAGGTCTGGGAATAAGATGAGCAGTATAAGCTTAAGTTAATAGATCGTGGGGTGTCAAGTGTCGTGCTCTAAACGATTGACCGGCCCAGAGACTCCTGAGTCAAAAAAATTTTAATCGAACGTGGACAATATTAGTACATGGACCATTTTTGTTATAATTTCAAATTTTTTGCTTAGGATTGACGTGCGTGGGTCACTAATTGGTTTACGCGGGGGGGAGATTCAGCTAGAAGCAATCCCAAAAGCGTTGGCCTCATTCCTTCCGGTGCTATAAGATCGAATGAACTGCGATCTGGTTTCTGAATTCTTATCCCTCCAAAACTTCTGTATCGCGTTCTGCTCGTAGATCGACAGGACCTTTTAAGGGTTATCGCTGGCTACCTTAGGCATCATATAGTAGGGACCTTCTGCTCAAGTTCTCTGCTTCAAGCTAAGGTGGACCTAAACCTTGCACTTGGTCGAGGAGTTCTCGGCCATTGTAATTGAGTCCAATAGCTTTATTGATTCAAGATACTACTGATTACTTTCAATGGAAGACAATACAAGATAAATATTCCAAGTTCGCGGATGAAACGAGCCATCTTGTTTCCTTTCAGTTTTAGTGCACAAACTTGGTGGGAAAGTGCGATGAAATGGAAGTAACAAGAGGAGCAAACAGAGACCCGGGCCAAGCGCTCGCTTCACTGCTATCCACTGCTGCGAACGAGATCGTTAAATTTCTGAACAGCAGCGACGCGTGGGAAAGGGAGATAATGAACTGAGAACGGCGTACATTACACGAAGTACTCATCATTACACCTGTTATGACTAGACTACACCAGACTAGACTAACATTATTGTTTCCACATGGCATTGTGGATGCATGCAGGTGTGCGGAATTCTAAGCGAACTTTAAGCTAACCTAACACTCGACCTGAGCGAAGGCCTGTCTCTGCATACGGGGGTGGTGGGGTGTAGTAGGACGGGGGCGGGCTGGAGTATGAAGGTGGCGACGAAGGATATGGCGGAGGCGGAGGGTGATAGGATGGCGGAGACGGAGGGTGATAGGATGGCGGAGATGGTGGTGGTTGATAGGTTGGAGGCGAGGGCTGATAGGATGGAGGTGGCGGTTGATAGGATGGAGGAGATGGCGGTGATTGGTAGGTTGGAGGTGCGGGTTGATAGGATGGAGGAGGTTGCTGCGGTGGAGGCTGCCTGTACGGCGGTGAGTATGGTGGTGGATGTCTTGGGGAAGGCGGAAGGTAATCGGGAGGTGGTGGTGGATGCCGATGAGTGGGCGGCGGGTGCGGGTGAGATGGTGGACAGTGTCTAGGGGAGGGTGGTGGAGGGTGCCTTCCGGAGGGTGGTTGTTCTGGGGAAGGTGGTGGAGGCTGCCCATACGATGGTGGTGGAGGCCGGTATCTTGGGAAGGGTGGCGGTGGCGGAGGGTGCCTCCGGTAGGGCGGTTGTTCTCGAGAGGGTGGTGGAGGCTGCCCATAGGAGGGTGGTGGAGGCTGGTGTCTTGGGGAGTGTGGCGGTGGCGGAGGGTGCCTGCTGGAGGGTGTTGGAGGCTGCCCATAGGATGGTGGTGGAGGCTGGTGTCTTGGGGAGAGTGGCGGCGGCGTAGGGTGCCTGCTGGAGGGTGGTGGAGGCTGCCCATAGGATGGTGGTGGAGGCCGGTGTCTTGGGGAGGGTGGCGGTGTCGGAGGGTGCCTCCGGTAGGGCAGTTGTTCTCGGGAGGGTGGTGGAGGCTGCCCATAGGATGGTGGTGGAGGCTGGTGTCTTGGGGAGGGTGGCGGTGGCCGAGGGTGCCTGCTGGAGGGTGGTGGAGGCTGCCCATAGGATGGTGGCGGAGGCCTGTGTCTTGGGGAGGGCGGGGGTGGCGGAGGGTGCCTCCGGTAGGGCGGTTGTCCTCGGAAGGGTGGCGGAGGCTGCCCATAGGATGGTGGTGGAGGCCGGTGTCTTGGGGAGGGTGGTGGAGGATGCCTCCGGGAGGGTGGTGGAGGGTGTCTCCGGGTGGGTGGCGGAGGATGCCTTCCGGAAGGTGGACCCCCTCGGTAGGGAGGTGGAGGATGTCCATAGGAGGGTGGAGGAGCATGTCCGTGGGAGGGAGGAGGAGGAGGATGCCTTCGGGAGGGCGGTTTCACTCGAGACGGTGGTGGAGGGTATCCGTGCTTGGGCGGCGGAGGCTGTCTCTGAGATGGCGGTGGAGGGGTCCCATAGGAAGGCGGTGGCGGACTCGGCTGAGGGGCTGGTGGATACTGAGGAGGTGGTGTTGGTCGGGGAGTTTGGGGTGGTGGAGGGTACGAAGGAGGTGGATACCTCCCCGAGGGTGGAGGCTGCTGTCCATAGGGCGGAGGAGAACCATACTGAGGAGGAGGGGGAGGAGAGCCGTAAGTATAAGGCGGACTCTCATAAGCGGCTTTGTTGTTGCTGCTGAAGAGGTCACCTCCCGGATTCGCACCGGCGGGATCTCCGGCGGCGACCGCACCAAAAGAAAGAGCAGCGGTGCGCTCGATCACGAGCACCACTACCACCACCACCAAACTGCGAAGACACCGAGCGAGCCTCTTCATTTCTCACCCGACCATACAAACGCAACGCAATAAGCCTCTCACTTGAGCATGGACTTAGCGGAGAGAGCGAGCGAGCGAGCGAGGAAGAGATCAAATCCTTTGAAGGGTTTAAATAGCCCTGGTTCGGGTCCTCATTTCGCAATGCAACAGCACGTAACGTCACAGCAACACACCCTAAAAGGATTCGAGCCACTGTGTGGAGCACATGGCTACATGCATGACGAGGAAGCTTGATGAGACTCCACGTGAGCTGCTGCTCGTCATCCGACGAGGCAGGTCCCTATTTTTGGTGTCTTCTTCTGCAGTGGGAGTGCCTGATAAATTTGACTTTTAACCCTCTCCCAGCAACAGCAAACGTCAGGAAAAACTTTGAAAAAAGGCGAAGATAGTGCGCGAGAGAGAGAACCGTGTCCGAGAGAGAGTCTCGTGCTGTGACCTCATGCCTTCCCCAAATGAAGGTGGTGAAGTCATGCGCACGTTCCCCACACTACACCGACTCCACACGATGGCATTAAACCTGATGTACGCTCCTAGGCTAGCAGAGAATGGCGTGTTGCCCGTTCTTTTAGGGTCGGCCCTTGACATAGATATCGAGAGTCTTCCAGACCTTAGTTTCACCATCTTATCATGTTGCCGATTTTACTCGATTAAAAAAATTCTACCTCTAACGCGCCACCACATTATGAAGAGAAAATTACATCGCGAGTCCAAAAACTTGACCGGTCTGTATAACTAAATCTTATAACTATTAAATTGTGTATTCAAGTTTAAGAACTTGTCAAGTCTGTGTATCTAAGTCTTTTATCTTATATAGAAATATGTAACCCCAAACCAAATGATTCAATTAAAGACGTCATTTTCTTTCACCCCAAATTTAAATAAGCCGCAATACAAAATCGAGAACCCTAACTACCAAATGATCCCTAATTCGCGTTTGATTAGGAAACGATTACATGCATTTACACAAGCGCGCAGTGTGGAGGAAACAAGACAAAACATTAGATAAAACGAAATTTGGCCTCTGCAGCCTCGTCAAACGACTCATCCAAAGCTGAAAGAGTCCTAAGTTGGTCCCTTTTGACAGAGATATAAATGATGAAAAAGATGGCTTCTATTTTTTGAAAAGGCCGTAAATGTATGGCATGGAGATACCGAAAACATTGACTACTCTCCTTGGAGTTTCAAGGTTATTATCCTCAGCCTCTCATCATTTCAAATGTGTCGGTGATCGATGGGATGCCACAGGGCACTATTGCGCAAAAATCAGGAAATATAAATAGCTGCGGGCATAGAAATTGATGAGAGCAAGCTATTGGATCTTCTCCGTTGAAAGCAAGCCTGAAAACCCAAGGCAACACTTCAACAGAGAAACAGAAGGAGGAAATTTGGCTGCCGAAATCAATTGATGTTTGAACATGAATGCACCCCTTGCAGGCACCAACAGGTAAAAGACAGCGTTTTCTTGAACCTTGAATCATGGGTAAGCATGGAACACACGTGTTGCACCGATTCGACACCGAAAATTTACGACTAATATGATGTGGTTGAGTGGTATTGCTGCTCAATCAAGCGTTCTTGCCTAAACAAATTGATGATGCTGAATGCACCTAAAGACCATAGAATGTGATTGGTCTCCAACAGAAAGGAGGAGAAATTCCATGAGCAACGCAAAGGCTTGTGAACAACCCTATCAGCTGCCGATAAACCAATGCTGCCGGAAGAAAAACCGAAGAATGAAAAGACCCTGCTTGTAATCTACTAGCTGAGAGAAGTCCTTCCGCGTTAATCTTGATGACGGACACCTTCAAGTGGAACAACACCCTATCTTTTTTGCTGATCCTGATGCATCAGCAACATCGACTGTAGTTCCTTGACCACGACGGGATGCAGCGGCAGCAGCTTCCCGAGCTGCTAATGCCCTTAGCCTCTTAATATGGTTAATCTGGATCAAAATTGACTGGAACGCTCTCTCGATATTTGTTGCGTCCAATGCGGAAGTCTCCAGAAACAAAAGGCCCTCCTTGTTTGCCAAAGCCTGACCATCCTCTACTTGCACAGCTCTGAGGTGCTTTAGGTCACACTTATTACCAGCCAGCATGATCACAATGTCAGAATCCACATGGTCCCTCAGTTGACGAAGCCATCTCTGGATATTGTCAAAAGTTTGCCTCTTGGTTATATCATAGACAAGGAGCGCACCAACAGCTCCTCTATAGTATTGACTAGTCACAGCCCGGGACCGTTCTTGACCGGCTGTATCCCATATCTTTGCCTTAACCATCTTTCCTTCCACCTGCACCGAAGAACATAGACTATCTCAGAATCACAAGACTATCCACCTTCACCGAATGTCTCCAACCCTGATCATTGAAAGTGAAATAGATCGCAAGAAGATTTGATGCGCGATCACAAGAATGAAGGGGAACATGGTTAACACACAATAATACAAAAGAAAGGATAATCTCTGTTGGGACGCCCTGCGAGACTAGGTCATCAGTTCTGGGCTTTCTTCACAAGAAAAAAGGAAACTGCTTTCACTTCAACGAGTGCATGCTGACAGTTCATCAAGAAATAACCAAAGCACGCTTAACCCGATTGAAAGAAAGGCAGAGCTGTTAAATGAGAGTTACTCTAAAATCCACACTCCACCATCTTCTTGTTTCACCGTAAAACAAGAATCCTATTGAATAATAGCTACAGCCTCATCAAGACCTTTCACAATCCTGATCGGATAAACACCAAATGCTAATATAAAGATTAATTCAACAACTTCACTCTCTCAATTCAAGTACGGCTTTGAAATGACACTGGCAACCCGCAAGTTTCAACCTTGGCTGAAAGATAGATATCTAGTACGTGCTGACAGATTATCATCTAACCGAAAACACAAGAAAAGGTTTTGATCATACAATCGGCAACCAGCAGGACAACACAGGCAAACCAAGACTGATAAAAAGTAACATGTTTAAATCGAAAGGAAGCAATGCAAAGAAACAGATAATGAAGTCCGGTTGAGCTCTCACCTGTAGAATCCTCGACGCGAACTCAAAACCAATATTGGGCTTGAACTCCAAGCAAAACTCCTTTCTAACGAACCTCGAGAGAATGTTGGATTTACCAACACCGGCGTCCCCAATCAACACGATCTTGGACACATCGTCATACTCGATATCCTCTTTTTTTGCCATAACCTTCTCTCCTCTCCGATCTCTCTCAAACCTATCATATCCATTCGATAACGAACTCCGATCAAAAGCGCACTTCAAAGACCTCCAAGATTCGCACATTCATGCGCACGCATGCAAGCAAGCAAAAGAAGACATGGCTGATCTTGAAACCTTAGGCATAAACGACGAACGACGCTGACAAGGAAGTAAAAGAACGCACCTTGAAGGTGGATAGGTCGAGAAGAGGGGATGCTTCGAGTGAGGAAATCAAAAACGGGAAATGATTCTGAGGGTCAACAGTGAGGAATCTAAGGATCTTTAGAGGATTATCGTCTCAGGAAGAGGAGGAAAAAGATCAGAAACGACTGTTGCTGATGGACGTTGGTAACTGGTTTTCTTTTGAAATCTTGAAGAAGACGAGAGAAAGATAACTATGAGAAGGGATTTTTCAAAACGGCCAAGCTTAAATAGCCAATAGCCAAGCGGCAATCCCTTGCATGAAAAAAAGTACAATTTCAATTTGAACTTTATTAACGAGGGTTCCATAATCCTATCAAAAATGCTTCATATTTCATTTTTGAGATATTAGACATATTTATCACGAGAAAAATCAGTGCATTGGAAATTCGTTAAAATTGCAATATTTTTTTAATTTGATTGTTTAACAAATGTAGGGAAACACTTTTTGGCAAAAACCTTTGAATTTAATCAAAATTAGAATTTGATCGGATAGAATATGATTAACACAAAATTAATGCGAATGGATACAATTTAAATTAAAACACGATTGTCGGTGACAATCCCTAGCATGAAAAAACACGATTTAAATTTGAATATTGTTAATGAATTTGATTTTCAAGATGTTGACGGTGTATGTCACGATAAATATTAGTGCATTTGAAATTGCAACATCTTCTTATTATGTCGATCAACAAATGTCAGTTAACACTCTTTAACAAAGAAACAAATAGAATATGATTAATGCAAAATCGACATGAATGGATTCCTTTTTATTTTCAAACAAAAAAGTTTCGCTTTGGTTGAAATATACTATTGATTAAAGATGACACGAGTATATGATCACATGTTAATTCTCAGACCTTATAAAAAAGAAAACCTACTGGAGATCCAAAAGACGACATTGTTATTAAGCATTTGGACGGATCAATGAGCATAGTTGTCCCAATGAAAGAGGAGGAAGTATTTTATGTGGTAAATACATCACGTGACAATAATGCCATGATGTAACAAATCAATTGTCAATTTTCGTGTTTCATAAATTTCATCATACTTGACAATATGTGTATATGTATCTAGCTCTTTATTGATCGGTAACAGGACTTATTAATGCCACGTGATGGATCCATCATATAAAAGAACCTTCTCCTGAAAGAGGTGGCCTGGCCATTGGAGTTGGTCCACTAGAGGGCGATGGTAGTAGAGGATGCCATATCATTGTCCATGTTTCACACTAACGACGTTGTCGAAACCATCTCGAAACCATATCAAACGAATAAAATTAATAGCTTCTTTTTCTAGGCCAGAAATCACAAAGTGATCTACTACCAATGTATAACATAATGCGATGGAATTTTGTTAATTATCGTAATAGTTAAATGAGCATACAAATAATCGATGAGAATTATCACATCGTAATGTAAATCAATTAATTTTTATAGTTATAACTCATAATTAATGTGATAAAACAACATCCATTTCGCATCATAGTATAGTTTTACTTATCTTATTAAGAAAAAAGGCCAAAGTGTGTTGGGATTTATTGACCGAAGTCCAAATTTAAGCTGTGGAAACCCCCAAACTTTCATAAACGAGTTCTAAAAGCCTAATCTTTTAACTCAATAGTAGCCTTCGATCAGTTTTTTCTGAAAAATGTCTCCAGCCCAAAGGGTTATATTGAGGAAAGAAGTTGATGTTCAAGCTTTGTCAGCTACTAAAGTTTGGGCACTTTTCAGTCATTAAATCTCAACCTTTTTCCTTCAAAAGGAGCCCAAGATTCCGTCCAATTTCTTCAAGCAAAATGTAAACAATGGCAGTTTTTAAAAACAAAGGAATCATTATTATTTTAATAATCTACGGGTACAGGCACCAAGATCTGGCAACGTATTAACCTAAGAAAGACCCGACAAGTCGCATTAACCAATTAATTTAGAAAATCTAGTTTTTGAGCTGAAAATTCTCCGACTCCTATAGTGTGGACCAGCAAGGGTGTCCTTCATCGACTATTCTTAAATGAAATCACCAACATATCACCAGAAACCATCATATCCCCAAGCAACTCTTTTAATCATCAATGGTACTTTTTTTTATGTCCGTTTCTATCGATGCCTAGCTACTAATTCAATGCCATGTCAGTTATTAGCTGTGTATTTCGGTTTGAGAATTAATCGCCGGGGGCTATTCTCGATGACAAGGAACTTGATAATTGTCACTAGATGAATACGTACATGGGGATATATTGATTCAAGTTCCAAGATCGTGCTACGACCGATGTTGTTTCCTTCGCTTTATACTCGCTCGAGGGCGTCGGACAGACAAAGCAGATGACCTTATAGGAGTAATATTATTAAATTTTCGAAACTGGTCACATCAAGTGGGCGTGCCGGAGTGGTTATCGGGCATGACTAGAAATCATGTGGGCTCTGCCCGCGCAGGTTCGAATCCTGCCGCTCACGTTTTTTTTCTCCATGTTTTCCTCTTTTAAAAAAGGAACTTTGTTTATGTCAATTTTACTCAATATATCTATGTTAATAACACACTCTTTCTTTAAGATTGCCTCTAACGATGACACATAATTTTAAACTAAAAAGGAATGGCCGCTTTCCTTGCAACGGGTGCTACCTCATTCAACGTCATGAGTTTTGTTCAACAAAAAGAAACGTTAGTTTTAATGAGTTTTGAAGGTGCAAATTAGCAATTATTGAAAATTTTAAATATTTTTTTTGTAACTCTTCCTATTGAGTATTTCCTTGGAAGATTTTTATTATTTTCTGTTAATATTACAACAATACAGTTGATTGTATATCATGGAACAATGATGGTTATAATATTTTCTAACTATTTTCGAATCCCTTTATCTATATTAATATAAAATATATTGAACTAAGAACTTCAACTTTGTTTTGTTCGTCCGAGAAAGATTCATACGAATTGTGAGACAAGTTAATGAATAATCTATTCAAGAATACATACTTCAATTTCATACAAATGAAAAAAAATTCACCCTCCATGCAATGCATGGTCATTTCGCAAATTAATGTCAGTAAACTTAATCTTTACTAAAAAGAATGTTTGGAGCTTTCGCTTTCAACAAAGTTCTAATTTTGCATTCCAGATTGGATTAATCCTAAGCTCAACGCCACTCTAGAAGCATTGTTAAATATTCAATGTTGCATGGGTGATATGCTGTAGTTTTGTAACTACAATCTATATATCAACTATTCAAGTGTAAATGAATAAACTATTCGTACATGTAATCAATGGACCTTATAATAATCTTTCAAAGAATATCATTTGCAAACAAAGTTGGTAAAATAACTCGGTTTGCCAATAGACATGCGGTCTTACTGGTAAAGGGTTGGGGGTGCGGTCGGAAAGTACTAGGTCCGGGGTTCAGTCCCTATAAGCACCGCACACGTATGTACATAAAAAAAATGGAGCGAAGACCAAAAAAAATTCGTTTCTTTTCTTTTTTGGTTTTCCATCTCTACCGTGTAAACGCATAGATCGCAAGACACAAGTAAACGACCAGGCCCAGAGGGACCAAGACCACCAATGGCACGATTGCAGCCACACTATGCCCACTCTCACCGCAGCCCAAAGTCCCCAGCTTCATCTGCACCAGGTTCACCAGCGCCATCATCAAGAACCCCGTCCCGGCCACCGACCCCAGCGCCGAAGCCGCCATCCCCGCCCTAAAGGCCGCCGTGTTCACGTGCCCCGTCGTCGCCCCGCCATGCCCCCAGTCGCATTCGCCACAATCGTCCCCGCCTTCCTGTTCCTCAGCAGCGCTGCTGATCTTAATGGCCTGCTTGAGAGCCAGCGCGACGAGGCTCGAGAAGAGGAAGGAGCTGAAGGAGTACACGTGGAAGGCGACGAGGTCCTCCGCCACAGCGGCGCCCGGCCTGCAGGATGCAGCGCGGCCCCTGAAGATCAGGCCCGCGACCCTCGAGTCGGCAGGTGAGGTGGTGAGGCCGAGGAAGAGGGCGACGGTGAAGAGGGAGTTGACGTTGACGATGCCGTCCAGGGCCATGATGTGGATCCTGGTGGACGACGACAAGCAGCGCGAGACGAACCTCGACGTGGTCTCGAGGCACGACGCGGCAGCCACCGCAGAAGATCGACCCGGAAAGACCGCCATCCTCGGCTTCGTTCTCCCGCTCATATTTTCTTGCATCTAACAATTGTATATTAAGACAAAGAAGGAAGAATCCATGACACATGCGGCACGGATTAGGTCTGCGAGGTTGCGGGTTCAGAAGAACACGAGAAGGGTTGCGTCGAAGTGAGAGCTTTTCTGGGCATGGAAGCTGGCAAAGTTAACGTGTCTTGGCCGGGAGGACGCGTTGCTTAACGGGGTTCTTGATAAGCGGAGAATTTCGGGCTTATTTTTCGGACTTTCTTTTGTAAAAGGGACAAAAGACGGGGAAGAGAAAATAAAAAACAAAATTAAGTGAGAAAAAAAAATCGGGTTTCGCCGTTGCCGGGGATCGAACCCGGGTCACCCGCGTGACAGGCGGGAATACTCACCACTATACTACAACGACTTTGTTGTTAAGGTGCTCCACAAAAATATATATATTTTTTATTTTAATATAGAATGGTGCGAAATTATTTTACCCATGATTAGATGAGATAGGCGCTTCCCCGTGCAGGTCATCATCGGAAAAAAGCACGAGTGTTTGAAAATGCGCTGTGATGCTCATCGTGTTGAATCCGTTTGTTAGGAAGAAATAGTCAATATATAGATTATGCGTAGAATCCACTTATCGGTGCGGTTGGGCCCCAAATTTACATGAAAGAAATGCGATCGAACGATGAATATTTCGATTATGCACGAGTACTGAACCTGATCGATGAGTGAGTCTGGTATAAAAATTCTCGTGTTATTGATGGCATGAAAATACCATAAGTGCGTTTGGTTTAGTTTTCCAAAAAAGATTTAGGCCTCCAAAGTCTCTTGGGGAAAACTCGGGGTGTTTGGCAAATTTTATTGGGACCCTTTTAGTAAAATACTGACCTTGGCAAAGCTGAAAGCTCAAGACGGATAATGCTTCAAGTATTTTCGAAATGCCATTTTCAAGGATTTATTGATTGTTTTTTCCCATCTTGCCCTCTTTAAATTATCTAAATTCCAAATATACTCTCACTTTATACCCAATCACTCTGCTCCACTGCGTCACTGCTTCACCTCGCCATCTCTAGCGAATCTGCAAACACGTCCATCACTACAAAAAAACAAGGATTTTGCCACGAAAATTTGCGATGGAAATTTTTCGTCGCTAATTTGCGACGAAATTTGCGACGGATTTTTTTTACCGTCGCAAATTAGCGACGAATAATTTCCGTCGCTAATTTGCGACGGAATTTGCCACGAAATAAAAATTCGTCGCAAATTTACGACGGAAAATAAATCCGTCGAAAAATAAATTTGCGACGGAAAAAAAAATCCGTTGCAAATTTGCGACGGAAAATAAATCCGTCGCAGATTTGCGACGGGAAAAAAAAAATCTGTCGCAAATTTGCGACGGAAAAAAAAATCCGTCCGAAATTTGCGATGGAAAAAAAAAATCCGTCGCAGATTTACGACGGAAAAAAAAATCCGTCGCAAATTTGCGCCGGAAATAAAATCGGGGCAAATTTGCAACGGAAAAATAAAATCCATCTCAAATTTGCGACAGAAAAAAAAATCCGTCGCAAATTTGCGCCTGAAAATAAAATCGGACGCAAATTTGCGATGGAAAAAAAAATCCGTCGCAAGTTTGTGACGGGAAAAAAAATCCGTGGCAAATTTGCGCCGGAAAAAAAATCCAATGCAAATTTGTGACGGAAAATAAATCCGTCGCAAATTTGCGACGGGAAAAAAAATCCGTCGCAAATTTGGGACGGAAAAAAAAATCGGTCGCAAATTTGCGCAGGAAATAAAATCGGACGCAAATTTGCGACGGAAAGAGAATAAATCCGTCGCAAAATAAATTTGCAACGGAAAAAAAAATCCGTGGCAAATTTGCGACGGAAAATAAATACGTCACAAATTTGTGACGGGAAAAAAAATCCGTCGCAAATTTGCGACGGAAAAAAAAAATCCGTCGCAAATTTGCGCCGGAAATAAAATCGGACGCAAATTTGAGACGGAAAATAAATCCGTCTCAAAATCCGTCGCAAATTTGCGATGGAATAATAAATCCGTCGCAAAATAAATTTGCGACAGAAAAAAAAATCCGTTGAAAAATTTGCGACGGAAAAAAAAAATCCGTCGCAAATTTGCGCCGAAAATAAAATCGGACGCAAATTTGTGACGGAAAAAAAAAATCCGTCGCAAATTTGCGACGAAAAAAAAAATCCGTCGCAAATTTGCTACGGAAAAAAAAAATCCGTCGCAAATTTGCGTCGGAAATAAAATCGGACGCTAATTTGAGACGGAAAATAAATCCGTCCCAAATTCCGTCGCAAAATAAATTTGCGACGGAAAAAAAAATCCGTAGCAAATTTGCGACGGAAAAAAAAATCCGTCGCAAATTTGCGACGAAAAAAAAAAATCCGTCGCAAATTTGCGCCGGAAATAAAATCGGACACAAATTTGCTACGGAAAAAAAAATTCGTCGCAAATTTGCTACGGAAAAAAAAAATCCGTCGCAACGGAAAAACAAAATCCGTCGCAAATTTGCTACGGAAAAAAAAAATCCGTCGCAAATTTGCGACGGAAAAATAAATCCGTCGCAAATTAGCGACGGAAAAAAATTCGTGGCTAATTTGCGACGAATTTAGCGACGGAAAAAAATTCATCGCAAATTAGCGACGGAAAAAAAATTTGTCGCTAATTTGCAACGAATTTAGCGACGGAAAAAAATTCGTCGCAAATTAGCGACGGAAAAAAAATTTGTCGCTAATTTGCGACGAATTTAGCGACGGAAAAAAATTTCGTCGCTAATTTGCTACGAAAAACAGTCAAAAAAAGGATTTAGCCACGGAAAATTAGCCGCGGATTTAGATTTAGCCACGGAAAAAAAAAATTGTCGCTATTTAGCGACAGATTTAGCAGCGAAAAAATCAAATAAATGTTAGAATTAAGTAAAATAACAGTTAGTAATAGAAAATTAATTGGTATTAAATCGTAAAATGGGATTAGTAAGTCATGCAAAAAGAAGCATGACTCAATATAAAAATTGGTAAGTTAAAAAACCAAATGGGTAAGCAACTCAAATTAGAGTTGACAATCCAAAACTAATTGGTAACTTAATTGGGCAAAAGTTAATGAGGCACACAAAAAAGTTGATAATTTCATGTAATAGAAGGTAAATTCAAAGCTGGTAGAAAATTAGAAATGTATTTTTGTTAGAGATAAGAAAAGTTGGTCATTTCAAAATAGAAAACCAAATAAACATTGATAAGTAACTCAAATAAAAGAAGGTAACATAAAACTAGTTAGTAACTTGATCGAAAAAAATTGGTAATCACTCTAATAAAAGTTAGTAATTTCTAAAAGAGCTAGTAAATTTAAAAAGTTGGAAACCAATGCAAATAAAAGTAGCAACTTAATAAAAGCTAGTAAATTTGAGAAAATAACAAATAAATGCTAATAACTCAAATGAGATTTGGTAATCCAAAACTAATTGATTTGATTGGAGAAAATTTACCCAAATCACGCAAAGAAAGCTAGGCTGATAGTTTCATATAATACTCGGTAAATTTAAATTATTGGTAAGAAACCTTAAGTTCGTCGCAAAAATTAGCGATTGCGACGAACCTTTTAAGTTCGTCGATATTTTAATTAAAAAAAGAGCGCCCCAAAGCCCCGCCCTCATCCCCAATTTCTCTCTCTCTCTCGCTCACTGTTCTCCCTCTCGTTCCCTCTTTCTCGATCATATCAGATCTGCTTCCGCTTCTCGCTTCTCCTTCTCGCTTCTGCTTCTTCCCTCTCCCCCCACACCCCTAAACCTCTCGCGCTCGCTAAGGGTTTTCGGTACCCCCTTCCCCCACCCGCGCCTCCTCCCGCGACTCCTCCTCGCCCATGGCCTCCGGAGCCCTAGAGGCCGCGGAGCCCCAAGGGGCGGCGGCTCCTCCCCCCGTCGAGGGCAAGGAGGAGCTCCCCGAGAAATTAGAGGCGGAGGAGGCGGAGCAAGAGGACCGAGAGATCGCCGCTCCGGAGGAGGAGGGCGAGGCTTCCGACGAGGAGGCTCTGCTGGTCGCCGCCGAGGCCCCGCCCGCTCGTCGCCTCCGAGAGGCCATGCCCGTGATGTCCATATCCTGAGTTGTGGGTTCCTGCTCATCTTCTCGGCCTACGGTGCTGCTCAGAATCTCGAGAGCACCGTGAACACCGTGAGTTTTCCGAGTCGATTTCGTTGGAATTTTGGGTAAATTGAGAGAAGAAATCGACGGTCGTGAGATGAAAACCCAGAGGCAGATTTTGCACTTCTGGGTCTGAGGTTGCTTGTAGGAATGTTTTTTTGGTTCGTTTGACGTTGCGTTTTGGTTTGATGAGTTTCTTGATTTTTGTTGCAGGCGGATAATTTGGGCACGACAGGCAACGCAAGTAAAGAAGAAAGGCAGACAGGCAACGCAACAAAGAGATATGGAATCTACAGTAGAGAACATTAGTGATTTGGAGGATGATCAAAGCCATCGTGTGGGGAAGTCGCTTTTACACTCAGTGAAGTGGGAGCGCATTATTTTGGATGAGGTGAGTGAATGGGAGTATCTTGCGGTGATATGAGTGCTAACATAGTTCAATGCTTTGTAACCGATATAAAGATTTCGATATGTCCATGCTGGCAACACGTGATTCGTTATTTTGTTTGGCTGGGTGAAGCCACGCATGAATGCGTTAATTTGCTCTTGGCAAGATAAATTTCTGTAAGATTAGGCCTTTCGATTGAAGGTTTGATTACTTTTAGGGAACCGTATATGCATGTTCTTTTCCACAATTTATCAAAAAAACTTCTATCCGGGATCTCTTAGTATGATTTGCTTCGTGATCTTTGAACATTCATCTGCATGTACATTTCCCACTGATGCCTATGCAATTTTATTCAATGTAGGCTCACTTTGTCAAAGATAGGCGATGTAATACTGCAAAAGCAGTTCTCGGACTGGAGTCTTCATACAGATGGGCTTTAAGTGGAACACCTCTTCAAAATCGTGTTGGGGAGCTCTACTCTCTTGTAAGTTTCTATTTTATACTGATTGCATGCACTGAGTTCAGTGAATGTATTTTTCCTTTGTTACCTATTTTGTAAGTCTGTTGTTCATTTGCAGTTCCTCAAAACAATGTCCTGAATGCTCTCACGGTTCTGTACGGCACTTTTGTTGGTGGAATCGAGTGAGTTGCATTTTCATTGGTCCTTTGGCCTCTCTCTTTTTTTTTTGGGCAAATCATATGGAATGTTTTCATTTGAACTTTGATGTGGAGTATATATTCTATCTAGTATATAGCGAATCCTATACAAGCACATGGAAATGCCGTTGGCAGAAGGCGAGCAATGATATTACTAAAACACAATTTTGAAAAACATTTTGCTGAGACGCACAAAAAAGGGAAGAGCTGCTGATCTTGCACTTCCACCTAGAATTGTGAGTTCTCTTGCATATGTGTACAATTGCAATTCGGAATGTCGAAGATTTTTAACTTAAATCCACCGCTTCCTGCTCTCTTCACTTTCCCTGCAGGTTACTTTGAGGCGGGATACACTGGACATTAGAGAAGAGGATTATTGCACATCATTGTACAATGAGAGCCAATCTAACCTTGTGCGGTGTGCATATTGATTGGTAGGTCCGTTAATCTAGGCTTCTTAATTTGCTCTTTCAGAGGATCAATTAGACTGAAAATGTGTCACCAGAAATTTCTAGCAATTGCTTTCATGGCCTAAAGATATATAAATGTTCTAAGTGCAATCCTTTTAATTTTGGATGCGAAATTTTGGCAATTGTAGGTATTTCACTATCTTCTCTGGGCTTGTGGGACTTTGAGTATCGCATTGTATGTCAACAAGTGAATGTCACTTCTTTGGAGGAGGTGATGAAGCACTTCATGCAAACCTTATAGGAGAAAGCAGAGTGGGCGCAAGATTGGAAGTATCTTTTCATACATATCGGGGATAAGCTTTGCTTCAGCATCTTCAGTGCCAGAAGTGCAGTTGGCCCAATATGTTCCTGCCCTGGAAAGAATTGCCACACTGAGATTGCTTAAGCAAGTGCTTTAAAGTGCTCAAGATTATTTATTCTCTCATTATGTGTACTATAAAGAAAAATATATATGTCATTCTTGTGGAAAATGCAGATGAATGTATTTCATTTTTATATTATTATAATATTTTGATGTTATTAAGTGCTTAATCAATGTTAAATATAAATTGTAGGAATTAATTTTGCTGTTAATTAGATTTAAAATCGAAGTCATCCCTAAACAATATTCGTCGTAAAGTTCGTCGCTAAAGAATTAATAAAAATTCGTCGCTAAATAATTAATAAAATTTCGTTGCTATTATTGACCCAAAAAAAAATTACGGACCCAAAAAAAAAATTGGCAAATTAGCGATGAATTTTTTTTTTGGTTGAAATTAGCGACGAATTTTGTCACGAATAATTAGCGATAAATAATTAGCGACGAATTTTGCGACGAATAATTTGCGACGAATTTTGTGACGAATAATTAGTGACGAATTTTGCGACGAATAATTTGCCACGAATTTTGCGACGAATAATTATCGACGAATTTTGCGACGAATAATTAGCGACGACTTTTGCGACGAATAATTTGCGACGAATATATTTCGTCGCAAATTAGCGACGGAATTTTTTTCGTCGCAAAATTCGTCGCTAAAACCTCATTTTTTTGTAGTGGAATTTTGCGACGAAATTTGAGACGAAATTTGCGAAGAATTTTGCGACGAATTTTGCGACGGACAGTGTTCGCGGTTAATTTGCGACGAATTTTTTTCCGTCGCAAAATTTTGCGACGACCTAGTAGCGACGGAATTTTTTCCGTCGCAAAATTCGTCGCAAATTCAATTTGCAACGGATTTTTGCAAATTTTTCGTCGCAAAAATCATGTTTTTTTTGTAGTGCATCTCCACCGCTCGACCGCCGCCACACGAACGAGCCACCTAAGGCGGCGTGCTTGTGCTCAACTAGCCAACTAACTAAACGAGCCTTACATTTGTTCGTGACTCTCCTTTGTAGGCCTGGACGACCCTTAACGATGAGCTCCTTTCCTAGATTTGTTTGCTTAATTCTAACCATTAACGATGAGCGTTAAGGGTTGCTCAGATCTGTTCGTAGTGAAGCTCGCTCGTCGCCAGGGTCGCGTTACCTCGGAGCCCTCGCCTAGGCTTGCGGCAGTCCTCACTCAGATCTATTACGCTCAAATCTATTTGTCGAGAGGCTCACTGAGGTCACGAGACCTCGGCAACACATCGCCGGAGGTCGTGCAACCTTGGTGCCCTCGCATGGGCTTGCAACAGCCCTCGCCTGAGCTGGGTGAGAGAATCGTCGAGCTTATTGAATATAGGGCAAACGATTTTGAACACGATGATGGGGAGCGAGACGGAGGCCGACAGCAGCGTCAAGGCTGAGGGCGGCGCTTCTTCATCAGCAATGAAGGCTCAAAGGAAGACAATCCACATGGAGTTGGATGTGAACAAGGAAGATGATCAGTGGTGCAAACAAGAAGAAAGCTCTTACTTCTACGATATCTTTTGCTTTTTTTTTTTTTTACTTCGAAATTGCTTAACGCAAAATATACTAAAACTCAATTATCCAAATATTATTTGCTTTTAGCAAATACACTTTGAATCAAAGATCATTGGGAAATGACTTTGCATTTGCCCAAAGCTCAATCAAATGCACCCCTATCATCCTCCATACGAAATTAGTTAGGACTGGACAAGCTTAGGCAAGTAAGGGCCCAAAAAGGAATTGCTTCCCCTGTAGACTTGATCAATAGGCAGATTTGCTCGGTAGGCCCACTAGAGCCAGGGATGTCAAAAGAGACAAATAGATAGATTTAAGGAACAATCTTCGATTCGAAAAGGTCTTTCTGTTGTTGCTCACATGGCTTTTCTAGACACAAAGTTTCTTGACTACCAACATGCTTGTATTGTAATAGTCGAGACCACTTTAAATGCTGGAACAATGTTTGTCACCTTATTTCCAAATTTCAATGTGGCACTTTTCTGATCCGCAGTTGCTTACTACTTTGAAGGTCCACTTTTCAATCCCCAGTTGCTTACTACTTTGAAGGTCCAACTCCAAATGGTGTATAGGGTTCAGAATTATGCCATAAATCTTTCTCTTCCAGCATCAGAATAAGCTTTGATGATCTCAGTGAACAATAACCATACAACATTTTGTGTTCATATTCCTTGACAAATCCTGCACAAGAAAGTTTAGAAGAAAGAGGAAGACTGGGAAGCTTTCATAAGCCGCGTAGAAAAGGCAATGGAAATTGGATGCTCATTTCCTTCTTCATCAGACGATAAATAGAAAGTGTATCATTGGTTTGTCATAATGGCATTTTGGTATGAGTCGTGTTATTATAATAAATGTTTGGAATGACTCGTGGTATTGTAATAAATGTAAACTATGGGTGTCATAGGTGTGCACCACGTGTTGTTATTAGGCATTAATATGCCCGTGTCCACTAGTGATGTGACCTTGCTTGTCTTTTCTTTCCTTTATGCCTATAAAAGGCCTGACTTGTAATATATTGAGACAAATTAGCCTTTAATAATAAATTGTGTATTTGCGTGTTTAAATCATGCAAAGCTAATTCTCTATTCTTCTCTTTGAATTGCTGTCCGGTATGAAAGATCTTAAAATGGTAAGATGATACATATCCTGATAGTATACTCTGCATTCGTCTTCATGAGGATTTTATGCATTAAAAACTAAGGCCAGGGGGCCTTATATTTGAAGGGAAAGCATTACCTTACCATGAGTAAAAATACCCAATTAGAAACTTCTTCACCACTAGTAGATGTTCCGGTATCCTTAATTCCATCTTGTCCACATCATAAGTTTGAAGCATCCAAGATCAATATTTATGAGGTAACTTACCTCGGTGAAACTGAGAAAATCTCACATCTACCCTCGCTCCTATAAATCCTTATGCAGGTTTTGCCAAACACACATCTTCTTTCTCCTATTTGCTCTATCAAACAGTTAATCCCTCTCACTTCAAAGATGTGAAGGAATATGTTGAGTCCACTCAATTTGATCAGCATCCTATCCTTGCTACCCAACATAAACAGTTTGTTACTCTCCGGATTCTTCCCGACTCAATCGTGCTCAAACTGAACATTTCAATATGCATCAACTTGAGCAACACATGCCCGACTCCCTCCCGATGGTTACATCTGCAGAACAGATCCATCGGTTTTACCCTTCGGTCCTGGGCAGGGTCATCGGGCAACCAGCCGCATGATCACCCCTAGCAAGCAGTCCACGGAAAAATCACCCCTTTATTTATCGAGTCGAATTGAAATACTCAATACCATAGGTAGAAATAGCATGGGGGTGGGGTTGTGTTAGAGCCCATCATTGATAATGCTTTGAAAAATAAACCGCATGAACATCACATCACGGACAATTATTAAAGCCCATCATTTAAAGAATCGTTAAACAGTCAGCAGTTTCCTTCCTCGACTTCTATGTCTTGGCATGCCCCAATAATTTCGTGGTAAGAAAAATGATAACGAATTTGCCAATTTCCCACTTTTTCTTATATCGATTCAAAATGGGATTTTAATATTACCCGCTAAATAAAGAAAAAATGGACTTAAGTATAAGATAATAATGCTGCGAGTTTCGTGACTTAGCATTACATTCTCCTTCACGCAAGAGATGTATAACCAAATAATAAGCATGTTGGCTTGAAGATTCCAAATCTGCCTGGAATCTACTCAATCAATTCCACTTTCAACCACCCCCGAATAGAGCAATTCAACCCAAAACACACCTGGATGTGCTCTTAATTGGTTGATTAATTTGATTAATCTAATTATGCCAACAGACCATGAAACAGCTGACCTTGAAGATTCATGCCCCAATTCGACAGCCTAACCAAAAGCAAAAGCCGCTTACCACTGTGCTTATAATGCAGCACTCGGCCGGCATTCATCTTGGACGTGATTGGCAGCTCCTAATTTTCTTATTTAGCTCGAAGAACATTATATGACAACAACCCAATTTTTATTTTCCTCTTTATAAAAAAATTAGGGAAAAAAGGAAAAGAAAATAAAGCAATTGGTCTTATAATAAATGTTTTGATGTTGCCAACTGAGACTCTTTGGTGGGGGGGGGGGGTGTTCAGCCAATTTGGTAATGTGCAATCATAGCCCCAAACCTTATTGTTGGAGTTGGAGATACCATGATGATATATTTATTGTAGAAGATGAGCATTTAATTAAAAAAAGGAAAAAAAATAAATTCCTTTTTTATTTTGGTAAGGAAAACAAATTAATGCAATCCCAACAAATGGCAGGTGAAATTGCACGGCTGGATAAATATATCTTCTTTATCCAAGCTTTCAACCTTAGACCCTTAAAATGGGAAATGGAAAAAGAGCGGATTTTTCTTTTGAAAAACATATTAATTAATAAAAATTAAGTGATATTGACGCGCAAGTAAAAATACTCGTAAAATACAAATACGTGCATATACACTCAGTTTATTGTGAAAACTCGGTAGAATAAAAGTCCGAGGTTAAATTATTTTCCCATGAATTTCCCAATTGAAACATCATGGCTAGTTGACTTTAATTGACATTAAATTTGTTTTGTCCTGAGCAGCTTCTCTTTCGACCTTCTTTTTAATACTAGGATTTCCAACCCCCGTAATTGAAGAAAATGAGACCATTTCTGTCATCATCGCGTTTGGACGATCAACGGGACGTCAGGACTATATAGATTAAAGGCATTGGAATTCAATACACGAACCAATGAAAAGAAATGCATTTTCTAAGATGATGAAAATATGAACGAAAAAAAAAAAATTATGAACGATTCTATCCATGTACTTTTATGCTTTTCTCAATCAAATTTATGAGCTTTTAATTTATCTAATCAAGCATTTTCACTTGCACAAATTATCTAATCAAGTCTATTCAACATCAAATCGACCAAATCCAACTGACATTACTGTCGGACAATGTCGGATTATGATGTGCGCAACATTTTGCCTATGTTGATGCCTACGTGGATGGGTTACTTGGGAAGATAAAAAGAAAATAAACCAAACAAACTCCTTTTTATTTTTCACTGTAGTGTCCATGTTATACGTAGGTGTCACGCAATGAACTTGTCACCTCGATTTGGCCAAATTTGGGGCCATAGAAC